TTTGCCGAGTTTTCCAAGTTGCCAAATGTATTTATTCATAAAATTTATAATTTGTTTCTAATTTTAACCTGCAAATTTTTCTGTAGGTTTTTAAGGAATCCGGCAGACAGATTAATGCCGCAAATATTTTATATGCGATCGGTAATCAAAGGGTTAAATTATAATATTGTCAGAATTAAATTTTCATAAAAAGAAACTGTCTATATATATTTAAGAGATTAGTACCATTTATTACTATAATTTTAATTTTAATTGTAGAAAATTGTAAAATCAAAATTTTGTTTTTGAATTTTTTGAAGAAATGCAAAAAAACAAAAATTGATTTTGACTTAATATTGAAGTTCTATAAGTCTAAAATCTCTCTAAAATTGACTACAAATATAAATTAATTAATCTTAATTTTATATCGCTTTAATTTTTATATTTCTTGGACATGAATGCACGCACAAAATTTGAAGAAAAACAAAGAAAAATAAGAAGAAAGTCAAAATTTTCATTTCGTTATTGCCCAAAAGATTTAAGCTAAAAATAAATTCGCAAAAATATTTATATATGTATATATATATATATATCCATTCATCTACAAATTGCGTACATTGTAAATAGGTGCACACATATATATATATATGTACGTGTATTAAATTAACTAAACTGGACCAGTTTTTTATTAATTTTTTTTTTTAATTTAATTTTTACCTTTTAGCTTTTATAACCTATCTCTTTTAGTTTAAATTTAAAATTAAAAAAATTATACTAAAAAAATATTTTTTTTTTATTTTTTAAAATATCTACAAATCTAAAGAAAAAATAAAAAAAAAATAAGTCACTTTTTTTTTTTTTGACTGGTTTTTGATCTGAAAAATATTCATAAAACTGCGCACGCATTTTCAAAATAAAATATTTGAATTTGTTGTGTAAATTTTGCGTTTGATATCTTGCATATACATACATACACATGCATTTGAATATTGTATACATGTATTTAATATATGCCGATATAGATATAGTAATAGAGTTACCATATTTTGTACTCCTCTAATAAAATCTATAAAAATTAATTATTTTTAGGAGAAAAATTAAAAAACTTTATAAAAAAAAATGAAAGAACCAAAAATTTAGTGCTCTACTTATGATTTTAAAATTGTTTTTTTTTTTTTTTGTTTTTTTAGTTAAATAAGAAAAAAATAATAAAAAATTAAATTAAATTGGCCGTTATTTACGGTGCTAATCTTAAAAAAAAAAAAAATAGAAACAAAAAAAAATTAATAAAATTTTTGTTACACCTAAAGAACAAAGTGGTCAAATTTTTAACTTAAAGGTAAACTTAATTTGATCTTTTATTTCGAAAAAAAAAAAACAACAAAATGTTTGTTGTTGTTCTTTATTATTTTTTCATATGAACTTTAGAGCTTATAGTGTCAAAGAAATAGAATCGTTAAAAAACGAAGGAGAGTTGCAAAGAATTTATTTTCAATAAAATATTTATAGATATCTAAAAACTTTCAAAATTTGATCCAAATTCGAGATTGCGTTAAATTTGAGCCAAATTTGAGCCAAATTCGTGTGGGAAAAAGGATGCTCCGAAAATGAGCGAAATTCTCTTTTTAAATTATATTGTTAATTTGAAGGACCAAATGAACTGAATAGAATTCCCTTATCATTTTTATGTAATTCCAGGACTAAATTGCACCAACCACTTTTACGTTTGCTTTTGACTGTTGTTACAACAGAAATTTTGAATTAAACAAATTAAAATTCAACAAAACAATTAATTGTGGAAAAATATAGGCCCTGATATTTCGGCTTTTAAAAAATTTAGGAAATATTTCGGTTTTAAGAAATAAATTTTTCGAAAACTTGTATTTTCAACGGGCTGTAATTTGAAAAAAAGGGGGAATAATAAAAATCTTTATTCTAATGAAATTATGCCTTAAATAAAATCTATTTCCGCACAATTTTATAGCTTCATATTTCTCATTTTTTTTCCAATACTTATTTTTTAATACAATAATTATATAATATGTTATTCCAGCCGTGAACACTACGCTCTTTTATTATTTTTAGATGTACATAATATAGTAAAATTATTATTTGAATTATTTTATATGTTAAATTATTTTGCAATAAAATTATTTTTCAAATGAATTAAATAATATATAAAAATTAATTATTTTTTTTTATTATTCCAATATTATTGACTATATTAAGAGGATCCCACATCCAAACTGAATCACTTTAAGATTATATTTGAATGCTGCATTATAATTGAAATTCTCTTCTAATTTCAGTTTAAAAAAAAATTATCAAATTTAATAATAATTTTTGAAATTGATATTTTGCTCTAACCAAATATTGTTTTGACTTCAACTTTATAACATTTTTAAAATTTTCATTGCATCATATTAAAAATCATGCACACTCACGCGGGCTCACATATATAAACCAATTATATGCCTTTTTTTGATGATTTTTTTGTGTTTTTTCTTATTTTACTGTGAAAAACTGCCAAATTAAAAGTATAAGAAAGAAAAAACAAAAAAAAAAAACCAAAATAGAAAAATTTAAAAAAAATGAAAAGCTTTCTTGGAGATTAAATACAGGTCATTTTAACAGATATTTTGAAGGAATACCACTTCAGTGGATTAATGAAAAATAAAAACAGAGAAAAATGTATCAAGTTACTTTTCTCAAATTAATAATCCTAAAAGTGGGGTAACAACGCAATATGTCGCGTATAAATCAGTTTGTATAAATCATTCATTATATATTTTCATATACATATGTACTCATATTAGTAAATATTCTTTTACTAGCCAAAAAAAAAAAAATTAAAACAATTTTTTGTTATTGTACACACGTATGTAATTGAAAAAAACATTTTTGATGCATTTTTAATATTTTGATGTTGAAAAACTCACGCAACTTTATCATTTTTGCATAAATATTTTGTAAAAAGGTTTTTGATAGCTATTTGAATAATTTGATTTAAAAATTTTATTGAATATTTGAAGTGTTTGCAAAAGCTGTGCTTCATTCCTATCTCATTTCACATTTTGCAAAAACGAAATACCAAATTTTATAATTAAACTCTTATACAAACCCAATGCGGTTAGAGAATTTTAATTTTCGACCAAACCTATGTCTTATAAAATAGCCATTTTTTACAATTATTTCCAAAGTTTTTTTTTAATAGGCTTTAGATTTAAAAAATTAAAACGATATTAAAAAACAAAATTTCCTTACAACTGAAAAATTTTGCATACATTTAGGATAAATCTTAAAGAGATAACGAGCTCAAAACATTTTGTACTATAGAAGATTAAAATTTCTTAATTTTGTATTAATTTTGTATTAATTTGTATGTATGTACATACAATATACATATAAAATCTTTGTGAAACTCGCATTTATTACCGTATAATATTAAATAAATTTCATATTTCACGTTGGTCACATTTTTCAAACCATCTTTTGTTTATGTTAAATATATTAAAAACAAAAGCCGAGTCCGATTTATTCTGTTTTATCATCTGTTTCTAAAAGTTCTTCAATCTTATAGTTTACATTTTATACCAAAATAGAAAGTAATTTATTATTTAATAAATTTTAATTTTGAGCTCTTTACTTTCTCGAAATTATAAGCTTTCCCAATTATTTAATCTAAATAGCTATTAAATTCTACCATGCCATTAATCCTTCTTTTAATTTTTCTTCTTACCCTAAAATTATGCAATAATTATTTGAAATTTATAATAAGTATAATCAAACATTTTTATTTGTTCGAAAGCAACGTACTACTTTTAATATAATCATTAATTTGTTCCAAATTTAATTAATATTAGTTAAAATTTGTGTATTTGAACGTTTTAGAATTTTGAGGTTTCATGCGACATTTTCAAAAATTGTTAAATAATAAAATATTTTCTAGAAAACTCCTACTTATAGAAAAGCCTAAAAGTTGTAATTTTGAATTATGAATACAATATTACTGTAATTTTGAAATCATGAACACTTGAGTCAAATGAAAAAGTAAATTTACACTCAGTTTTCTCCAAAAAACCATTATACAATAATATTAAAATTTTAAAATAATGATCTTATAGTTGAATTGCATTAAAGAAAAAAAACAATTATTTATAAATTGTTAAATTATTGATATTGTACATACGATCAAAGACAACTGGTATTATTTTTCTACGCACATACCTACATTTATTATCTATATATACATAAGTGTATATATATGCATATACATATATATATATGCATTCATCAATTATTATGCGACAATTTACTTTGGTTAAAACTTTGCTCCATATTTTTATTTTCTTGTTTTTCTTTTTTTTTTTTTCATTTTTTTATAGTATTTTTTTTTCTTTACTGTTTATGAACATTTTTATTATAGTATACGAATACTCCAGTATATTTAAAAATGCATAATGCCTAGATGTTAAAGTGTACCACCAACAACTCTTAAATGACTTAAAAGAGAAAAATTAAAAAGAAGAACAAAAAAAATAAATGAGAAAAACTTCTTGGGGATACTAGTGCAAATAAATGTAAATATTATGTGATATATAAGTATATTCATATATATATACCATATTTATATATGATCTCCTTTATCACCTGGTGGACCTCAAAGTTAGTGGTGTAAGCTTTTTCTTTTCTGTTCTGATTTACTTTGGCTTTTTTTTAACAAAATATTTTTTGTTATTTTCTTTTTTTTTTTCTTTACATTGCGATTTATTGGTGCACATTGAATTGGACGCTTAAATCTGATTTTATAATATTATTATTTTATATGTATATACATGACACTTTGAACGCATGTTGCTCTATATATATGTATATACATGTATGTATAGAAATATAAGAATTTGTTTTTTTTTTATATAAATTTTTCTTAATATTTTTTTTGTTGATTTTTTCAACATTAAATCTACATTAGTTTTGGGTAACCGTATATAAACGACTATAGGGCTAGGCCGGTCATCAGTATCTCGCGGTGTGCTTTACATTTCATAGAGTCGATTATTTCTTTTTTTAATTTATTTTTTTCTTTTTTGGGTTTTGAATTTCTTGAATTATACTCGAGAATCGGATTTTAAATTTGAATTTTGTTTTTCTATTAATCCTTAAAAATATATAAATAAAAATTAAATATATAAAAAAAAATATTTAATATTTTCATAAAATAAATAAAATATTATTAATATAAAGAAAACAACTAAAATATTATTAAAACAAAAAAATAAATATTTTTACGTATTTTAAATAAAAATTCGAGTAAAGAAAAAATTTAAAAAAAAAATTATTAATTTTCTATTTTATATATATAATTTATTTTAATAATTATGTTATAAAAATAGTGAATTTTTTAAATTTAAACCAAACATAAATAAATATATAAAGCGAATCGAAAAAAAAGGATATTAAATTTAATTTCTTAAAGTGTTTTAAAATTGTAACAAAAAGAAAAAATAAAATTTGATTTCTAAGAAGTGTATTGTATATCAAGGATCATTGTTTCTATTTTTTTGTAAATAACAAGAAATTTTATAATATTTTATTTAAAAAATATTTTATCACAAAATTTCAAAAATTCTAATTTTGGATATACAAAAATCATAAAATATACAAATATGAAGGTGAGAAATATTTTTAATTATAATTAATATATGTATATTATGTAAGTAATAAGAAGATTTGATAACGCATTCAGGATACAAAATAATCTTATCCTTAACATATAAAAAACATAATATTTTCTAAAAGGATTGCCTTTTTTTACCCTCAATATTCTATAGAGGAATGGATATTCTATTTTAATTTTTCATTTTCGTTTGCAGAATTTTCTTAAAAAATTTTCTTGTGAAATTAAATATGAAATATTTATAAATCTACAAAATATCAAATATATTCGAGTTACTGAATTTTTAAATACAAAAAAAAAGCTTCTAATAAATTTTAATATAAAAATGAAAAAATAATTGAATATTATTTTTACTATTTATATTGTTACTATTTAAACATTTGCAAAATTTTATTTTTACAATATTTAATAATTAAAATAAAGAGAATTTCGAAATATCAAATTCAAATTGTTGTACAAGATTTAATTTTAAAATTTTATGAAACTTTTAAATAAAAATTTAAAAATATTTTTCAATATTTTTACGAATAATTCATTAATTTTGAATATTTATCGTAATTTTTAAATATTTTACAAAATTTATTAATTTACTACAAAATTTTTAAATTCGATTTTAAAAATCTGATTTTATTAAATCAGTAAGATTTTGAATAAATTTATAACATTTTCAAAAACATAATTTTTTCAATAAATGAATTTAAAATTCTGCCAATGTAATTTTTATAAAAAATTAAAAAATTTCTAATATAAATTTTAATATAACTACTTTTAAAAATAGTTGTAGAAAACTGTGATATTTTTTTAATCGCAGCAAAATATGGAATTTCGAAAATATGAAACATGTAAAATGTCCAAAACATTTTTTATTAAAAAAATTAATTTTATAAAATATTGTACTAAATAAATCAAAAAATGTTATGATTTTAATTATTCTTTGTTTCAAGAAATTTTATATACATTTTTCGTATTACAAAAAAGCACGACTTGGGAATGCAGAAAATTAGACAAGAAAGAAAATGAAAAATTTTTAAAAATACTCCCAGGTCTATGTATAAAAAATTTGTTTTACACTTTAATCTTAATCTTAAATGTCTTCATTTTCGTATTAATCTGAGTTTCTGTTAAATAACAATTTATTAAAATATATGTTGTTACATTTTTCAATATATCAAAAAAATTGTTACATTTTTCACTATAAAATATGTTTACATTTAATACCAATTATTTGATCAATTAATAATATCTTTTATTATCAGATTTTATGAAATCAATTATTAAATAATATTTTAAAATGTACGATATTCATATATTAAATATTAAGTAATTTATTTAATATATAATTTTATTTTAATATATAATTTTTATATAATCTACTTTATCATATTTAATATTACTTCCCCAGTGTTAAATAAAAATTACTTTGATTTTCTTTAAAAAGTTATATAATCAAATTGAAAAATAAAATTTTCACATACATAAAATTTAATAATAACATTTAAAATAAATATTGTATAAAAAACTTAATAATATGCATAATCAACGGAAGATAATAATTAAATTACAAAGAAAGAAAAAGGAATTAAAACAATTTTTTTTTTTCTTAGAAAAATTAATCGTATAATATTAAATATTAAACAATATTAAATATACATAGTATGTAATTGCAATTAAAATAAAATTAATAATTACCTACATAATTTACCTTCACAAAATTAATTATTAACTTACAATAATTATTTTGAAAATCACATAATTTTCTTATAATTTTTATAAAGATAGCATATAAAACATATTCACGCAAAAAAAAAAAATATTATTTTACATAATATTTAAAATATATAGCTACATATACCTAATAAAATATTTTAATTTTTTAAAAATTTCAATTTTTGACCTTAATTTCAATAAAATATTCTGAAAGTTTTTTCACATGATTTTCCCAATCATTACCAAAATCATTCAAATAAACGGAACTTAATTTTTTATTAATTAAAATATCTACATATACATATATAGCTATCTAATAAAAATAATTACAATAAAATTATTAAGTTATTTTCTATTTATTTCTTTTTACATACATACATACATAAAGTATGTATACTTTATAATTAAAATTTTATATGTACACCATATATAATAATTTTTAATCTTACATTTAAAAATAAAATACATATATAAAAATGAGATCGAAAAATTATGCATAAATTAAAATTTATTAAAATATTGAATGTACATAATTAAATTCATTTACACAAACATATATACATATTTATTTTCTAATACGTATAGAAAATCAATTAATATATATTTTAATAAATAAATTACTGTATAAAAGCTCATGTACTTGTGCATATACAATTTAAAAGTGGTTTAACTATAAAGACTATAGTCTTAGTCATTATTTAATTATTGTATCAATACATAATATACACATGTATGTATGCACTATAATAAATAAACTTCATATATGGCTAGTAATAAAAATATAGAAATTAACAAATATAGAATTGACCTGATTTAATTTTTTTTTATATTTTATGAACTGTTTAAGAATCGCGACCTTGTAAAACCCACATTTTTTATTTAATATTCCAAAAATGGATCTGAATTGTAAAAAAAAAAAAGAAAATTTGAAAATAATTTTCTTTTATGAGGGTGCGGGTGAAAGAATAGAATATTAGTTTACTGAAATTTAGAAACTTTAATTTTTAATTAATAACCCAGGATAATTGAAGTAATTTCGATTTTAAAATGTTAAAGTTTATGATTAATATTATTAAAAGGAAGAAGTTAACAGAAATTTTTTGATTAAAAGCCAAAATAATCTGTTAAATCTGTTATATAAATAAATTGTTATACATATAATGTAATTGTATTTTCTTATATAACTATATCGCGTTGTAATTTTTTTCAGCTACACTAAAAAATCTTCGTTAAGTGTTGATATCAATTCTTGGTCTCGTATTATTTATTAATTATTTTTTGATTTTTTTTTTAATCAAAATTTTTTTTTTTTTACATTATCATAATTTCCTAATTCAACTTTTTTCTTTTTGGTTTATTTAGTTTCTTATAGCACTTTTTTGTTTAATAAACATAGTAAATTCAGAAGGTTTACCTCCATGTATACATACAGATGGTGGCTATAATTATCCAGCGCCTGAAGTTAAAGTATCTGTTACACCAGCTGTAAGCTCATACAGTGTATCACCGGCTGTTCAAACTTATTCAGAAAATGCTCATTTAAAATTTGCTTCAGTTGGTCCATCATATAGTACTCTACATTCATCACCAGGTTATTTAGCAACACCAGCAATTCAATATTCTGATAAATCTCCATCGGCTAAATTTGCTGCAGTTGTACCATCAGGAATAGATTATTCAGTATTACCACAAAAAACGGTTGTGGCAGCTGCCCCACTTATATCTAAACCAGCATATGTTTCACCAGCACCAGCTGTAATTAAAACTTACTTACCACCTGCTCCAGTAGTAACAAAAGAATATCTACCACCACCAGCCCCTGTTGTAGCAAAAGTAGCAACTTATACATCACCAGCAGTTAACTATGTACATACAGGACCAGCGGTATCTAAAGTGTCAACATATACATCTTCTGGTTATTCAAGCTATTCTACAGGTATTTATTACCATAATATTAATTTGGTTAATTTTTAAAAAGGTATTATAATATTTCGTAATATATGTAGGTGCAGGAATTGAAAAAGTTGCATATGCTGCTCCAGAAGTCAGCAAAATTGCCTATGCAGCTCCAGTTGTTCAAAAAGTTGGATATGTTGCACCAGCTGTGTCTAAAGTAGCTTATGAAACTCCAGCAGTGGCAAAATATTCCTATGGGGCTCCCGTTGTATCTAAATTAGCAACATTCACATCTCCATCCGTTAACTATATTCATTCGGGCCCAGCAGTATCCAAGGTTGCAACTTTCTCATCACCAGGTCATGTAAGTTATTCAGCTGGACCTGCAATTGCTAAGGTAGCCACATATGAAGCACCAGCCAAAATTGGTATAGCAGCTCCAATCGCAACTTATGCTCCTGCTTTAGCAACATATTCTGGTAATGCTCTAATTATAATACATTAAATACACCTTAAATATTTTTCAAAAGTTCAATATCAATGTTCGTACAATTTTAATATCTTTTACACGTAGTTTATTTAGTGGTTATATATTTTTTTATTAGGTTTAATTATTTACTGTTTTGAATAAAAGTATATTTTTCCTCGACAGGACATGCAACTCATTCATATGTAGCCCCAGCTCCTGCCCCGGTTAAGGTAGCTTATGCGGCTCCAGCCCCGGCAGTTTATGCCGCTCCTGCAGTAGCTAAAGTTGCAACATATACTAGTCCAGCTGTAAATTACGTTCATACTGGTCCTGCGGTCGAAAAAGTAGCAACTTATACTTCACAAGCACATGTTGGATACTCAGCTGCTCCCGCTGTAGCTAAAGTAGCTACTTATACTTCACCAGGTGTTAGTTATCTACATTCAGGACCAGCTGTAGCAAAAGTTGCATCATATGCAGCTCCTGCACATGTTAGCTATTCAACTGGACCAGGAATCGCAAAAGTAGCATCGTATGCTGCACCAGTAGCGAAAGTTGCTGTAAGTGCCCCCTACGCTACATATGCACCAGCTTTAGCTACTTATTCGGGTCATGCAACACACTCATACGTAGCTCCAGCTAAAGTAGCTTATGCCGCAGCTCCTGCCGTTGGTAATTTACAAAATATTTTGTGATGGTTTTGAATTTTCAATTGCCCTTTTGATGTCTTATAGCCAAAGTGTCATCATTCTCAACTGGACCAATTGTTACAGGATATGCTCATGGACCTGCAGTAGCAAAAGTTGCTTCTTATTCCACAGGACCAATAGTTACTGGATACGCTCATGGTCCATCTGTTGCAAAAGTCGCTTCTTATTCAACAGGTCCGGCGGTTTCGGGATATGTCCACGCACCTGCCGTTGCAAATGTAGCTTCTTATTCTGCTGCACCTGTAGTTGCTGGATATGCTCATGGGCCGGCCGTAGCCAAAGTTTCATCTTACTCTTCAGGACCAGTTGTTGCATATGGCCACGGACCAGCTGTAGCAAAAGTATCTTCTTATTCCTCTGGACCAATTGTCACCTACGGTCATGGACCAGCGGTGACTAAAGTTTCTTCATATTCTACCGGACCTGCTGTAGCATACACTCATGGAGCTGGAGTTGCTAAAGTAGCTTCCTACTCCTCTGGGCCCATAGTTGCTGGTTATGCTCATGGACCAGCAGTAACCGTCTCAGGACCTGGAGTAGCTAAGGTAGTTTCATCACCAGTTGTTGCCTCATATGCCCATGCACCAGCCTTGAGCAAAGTTGTTTCAGCCCCTGTAGTAGCTTCATATGCCCCTGCTCCAGCTGTTGCTAAAGTTATTGCATCACCTGTAGTTGCTTCATACGCACATGCTCCAGCCAAAGTATTGTCAACTCCCGTAGTGGCTTCATATGGTCATGCACCTGCCGCATTACACACTGGGTCAGGATACAGTGGTCACAGTCTTGGACATGGAACTACGACTTATCATGGCTCATTAGCTTTAGGCCTTCCTGGTGTTAAGGTAGCTGCTGTAGGACATGAATACGCACATGGAGTACCTGCTTTAGCATATTCAACAGCTCCGGCTGCTGCAGTGATAAAAAGTGCTGCTCCAGCTGCAGTAATTAAACCAGTTATAGCAAAACATGAAGAATATTATGTAAGTGCACAACTAGTCAATTAACCATAATTATCCTAGTTTCTCAATTACATACTAACAGTATATTGTTATGTAAATATCAATACACATTTAAAATTATTTAATTATTTTTACCTTATTTATTTATTTAAAATAGGATAGCCATCCTAGATACGCTTTCGAATATGGTGTACATGATCCACATACAGGTGATATTAAACACCAAAAAGAAGAACGTGATGGTGATGTTGTTAGAGGTGAATATTCATTAGTTGAACCAGACGGTAATGTTCGCACAGTTAGATATTATGCTGATTGGGAAACAGGTTTCCATGCAGAAGTAACGAATAGTAGAGATCAAGTTCATGCAGCTAAAGTGGTCGCCAAACGCGATGCTAAAAAAACATGAATTTCCTCAGGTTATTTAACAAAATCAAAAAAAAACAAAACAAGTAAATTTAAAAAAAAAAAATTAAAATAAAATAATAACAAAGTTAAATAATAATAATTTAATTATGTCATATTGTTTATAAAATAATATAAAAGGAAGAGAATAAGAAAAAACGCTGTACATTTTAAAATATTGTAATTATAATATTATTTACTCTTATATATACATACGTATATATAATTTTACTTGCATATTTATCATTGAAACATCCAAAAATGCATTAATAAATTTTTCAAAAAGAAAATAACGGAAAAACAAAACGATATAATTAAAAGTTTTCCGTCATTTTGTAATAATATAAATACATCAACATTACATGCATATACATACCGAATTAGATAGCACCATGCTTTAATCATTTTATTACCGTTTAAAATTATAAATTTAAAGTTAGAAACATTTCATTTGTGTGTGAAAATCGTATTTTTAATTGTTACAATTAAATGTTCACATAAAAAAGCATTTTATATTATATATTTAAATGTACATACATTCATGGTTCAAGCTCTTATTATTATTATGTTATGCAGAATTGAAGTTTTTTAAAATTATCTATAATAGGCTTAATATATGTATGTGCATAAAGCTCTAAAATTGATCAATTACGTTTTACAATTATATTTTTGATACACTACCCTTTTTTTATATATATATATATACATTAATTATGTATGTATACCTTATCCTGTAGATAGGATGCAATTGCATGCATGTGTACAAATTTCATAGCAATTTTTGATTTGTAATTTCTCAACAACCAATAAAATTCCTGTACCTATATATATACACCAAGTGCTTTTATAAATTAAAGAATAATTTGAACTCTATATTTCCAATAAACTTGATTTCGACGCGATATGTTTTTTAAAATACTCAAATATAAAAGAAATTTGGATTATTGTTACCTTGTATTACAATAATTTTTACAAAATTAATTTTTAATTAACATCAAATAAGCAGCTACCTATATCCAATAAGCACGTATATTTACTATAATATTTTAATTCAATCTCTATAATGAGATCCACTTAAAATCAATATTTTAAATTAATCAATTTAAGATATTTTAAAATAATGTTTTAATTTAAAACGACATTTGGTATTGTATGTATCAATAATTATTTTCTTACAATGAAACTTTAAAATTCTTATTAATTTTAATTTTAAAACGTAAATTATTTTTTTGAAACTGAAATCTGCGATAATTAAAATAATAATTGTATAGGAAACATTAAAAAAAAAAAACTTTTTTAATTTAAACAAAATGTGAATATTAAACAATTGAAATATTGTAAATAATTATATAATATACCTATATAATACTTAACTCTTATTTATTGGTATAAAATTTTGTTTAACTCAACATTCATATTACAATGAAAATCTGTATTTTCCAAAATAGAAAATCATTAAAAATATTAATTTCATTTTCAAAAAAAAACAAAAAAATAAACAAATTATTTTATTAATATGTATTATTATATTAATTAAAATATTTAAAATAATTTTTCGACTATTTTGTGATAAAAGTGTCATACATTTTATTTAAAAAAAAAAAAAATAAAAATATGAAAAGAAATAAATATTATAATCTCACACTAAAACATATAATTTTTCTTTCTTTTAATATTAATAAATATATCTCATAGCACAATATTCTTAAGTATTTAATATTGTATAAAACAATAGACATTGTGGCAATGAATTTTAACTTGTCGGCTAATTTTTGAAATTTTACGTGACACAAACCGTGAAGTGCTCTTTTACGTGACACAAACCGTTTTTTCCTATCTTCCTTAGTTTGTAAGATATTCGGTGTCTTTTTTGCTCTATAAACCATTTTTTTGTCAATGGAGCTTATTTTACATATGAAAAAAGCATGATTTATTTATGTAAATTTTCGTCAGTTCCACATAGTAAAATTAAGTAGTAGAGTAAAATTGACTAAAATTGCATTTAACAATATATATTTTTTATGAAAATTGAGCAAAACTTAAAATTTAAAGGTTAAATTTTTATTTGCTCCATGTGCATTCAAAATGTATTAAAAAATATGAAAAATTCTTATATTTTTTGTGTGATCACTTTGTTTACCGTTTTAAAATTCAACTGCATATCTAAAATTCTTCCCTTTGGATATTAATATTCCTTATATGTATTCGCTTTTTTAACTTATTCTTCTCCAAATAACGAAATTCGTAATTTTCCTTCAGGTTTCTCAAATAATTTGCTCCACCGTTATAGGATTTTAATATAATTTTACAGAAATTAAGTTTCATTTCTAATGTGTTCCATTTGCAAAATTATTTCTTACATATGTGCAAAGAGGTCAGTAAGTATTAACAAGCTCATTTGATATAGTATAGAGCAATGGCAAAAATGAACAACTTAAAGAAAACTTTAATTTTTCTGAAAAATCTAAACTTCGAAAGATGAAATTTTACTCCGTTGTACATAAATAATTAATAAACCAAACTGCAAAACTTAAATAAAATCGTTCGAAAATATTTTTTTTAATTAAGGTTTTTAAGTTTCTTTTTCAAATTCCTCCAATTCGTATTGCTGGCGGGAACTCAATCGACGTTATTACCTTAATATGATTTCATAGCTTATATATTTATCACTATATTTATTTTTTTATTGCACAGCTACTAACCAGTTACATACAGTAATTAAATTAAATTATTCCGATATTTTGAAATCTTCCTCTAAATATTCTGAGAATATTTTGAAATACCAGCGATATTTTTGAAATCTCTAGCTCTCAGTTCTAGTCACATATTACATCTAAATTTTGAATTTTTAACAAAATAGCATTTTCAAAACAATTTATTTTTGATTACCAATAGTTTTTTTCATTTCTTCCTTTTTGGTTAAATAAATTAAATTCGTTCCTTTTTTAAATTATTTCAAACTTCAAAAAGTTCATTATTTCTTTAACCTAATTACTATACATGTAAGTATATATGGAATAGTGGAGTATGTAGTTGAATAAGGATAGTAGTTGTTTCGTATTTATTTTAGTAGATGGCTTTACATTTTTGTTTAACATAACAATTTCTGCCATTCCTATTCGTAAATATCTGTCAACCGTGTATTTTTATACTAAAAAGAATTGTCAAAATTTTAATACATAATTAAAAAATCAAATCTTTGATAATATATTTACATATTAAATTGTGCTTGGTATAACACAATATATACCAAGTACAAAATAATAAAATGTTTAAAATAGAATAATAAACTTTGTGCTTTGTTAAGACGATTGTTTCACATTTTCTTTTATACATGTTTCACTTTTTCTATCAAGTAATAAAATATAAAGCTACGAGACGATTTTAATTTCTATTTATAAAGTGGTTCGTTTAATGAAATAATAATTTGTTATGAGAATACAGTTATGAAATTGAATAAACTCCGTCTCTAAAACACATCATATGATGTAATAGGATATTATTCAAAGAGAACTTAAATAACATTCAAAGAGAATGTTGTTAGGAATAAAGTCTATGTTGCAATTTGAAATTATATTCTAAAATTTTATTAGGATTAAGATCCAATTCATAAAAATATATAACTACTTTAACAAAAGTCCTTTTTTTTACACGCAATTTCTACGACGTAAACGAAACGTAACGACGTAAAGTTGTCTATATTATAGTTGTTTATATTAAATTAAAATAGGTAAATAATTTACATGTATTTCTTCTCGGGATTTTACTCATTAAAAAGGTTCTAAAAAATTCCGCAACAGTAATCTTAAATGAGACATCTTGCGGAAAAATATTGACTGACATTTAACACCTGACTTCTTTTGAGAAAAATTGCAATTTAAATTCTGACTAGAAAGTCTACTAGAGCTGGAATCTAGATACTAGATAGAATTCGATAGAGAAGAGACGTCTTGACCACTTCACATTTTTCTTAAATGTTTTTTTTTTTCTTGCCGTATAGCGTCACCTCGTATACTAATATTGAAAAAAATTAAAAACATCATTAGGACTGAAATTAGGAAAGAAACATTGATAATGAACGGTGGAAAACATTATGCAAAAGGTATGAACAACATTCTATATGTATAAATATATGTATATACGTACATTAGGAATGTATCAGTTGTATAGAAATGCAGTAATAAATGAAAGTAATTACTGAAAAATTGCAATCGGGGTCTTTTACATCATATCCATGTACAGACATACATACATACATACCTATCAACATGTTTTTCATGTAAATTTACGATGTAAGCATTGTATTTCTTGTTTATATCAAGTACTTACATATGTAGTTATTTAATACAAATTGATAAATTTGTGTAGCTGTTATGTTATAAATATTTGAAGGAATTAATAGATGATGTCATCGAAAATCATAATAAGTCAATTTTGTTTTTCGCTCTAGGATCAACCCTTCCAGCACTTCCAGATGATGGGGTCCTACGTTTATACTCTATGCGATTTTGTCCTTTCGCTCATCGAGCACATTTAATACTTGAAGCAAAAAATGTACCATATCATACGGTTTTTATTAATCTAACTGAAAAACCCGAGTGGTTAACCAGTACATTGGTAAAAAAAATTTCATCTTTCTTTTTTATTAACACTTTAAAATTTTAGCCAAAAGCCCTCTTGGAAAAGTTCCAGCTTTAGAACTTACGAACATTCCTGGTGCCGAACCTCTCATTGAATCGCTCATAATATGTGAATACTTGGACGAAAAGTATCCAGAAAATCCATTGTATCCAAAAGATCCATTACAAAAAGCTTATGACAAAATCTTAATCGAAAGATTTTCACCAATTGCTGGAGCTATGCGCAAAGTATTTGTAGAAGGGGTACCACCAGGTTCCTTATCAGAAATTTGCAGCGGACTTGATATATACGAAGCTGAGCTAAAAAAACGGGGAACAAAGTATTTTGGAGGTGAGAAACCTGGAATGCTAGATTATATGATATGGCCATGGTGCGAAAGGTCAGATATGCTCCAGTATTTAATAGGTGACAAATATCGATGGGATGAAAATAGATTTGCAAAACTGGTAAGGTATTTTTTTTTAAAACACTACTATTGGCCAATTGTGCATTTAATTACAAATTAAACTAACTAGCAATAATAATAAATATTGTGCGATTGGAAGTTTTCTTTAGCCAAAAAAATAGTTACGTATAAGTTTTAATGTTTAAAAACTTATCACAGTTTAACTATTAGTTCTGAAACTGAAAAATCTTTGGTTAATAGCTTATATATATATATATTTGTTTAAAAATTAACTTATGTAAAAAATTTTTAGTTGGAGTGGCGTGATCTAATGAAAAATAATGAAGCCGTGAAACGTTCTTATTTAGATGGTGAAACACATGCCAAATATATGAAATCTTATCGTACTGGCACTCCAGATTATGATATGCTTGTGTAAGGTTTATGATTAGAGTGTGAAACAAAAACTAAGTTGACATACTTAAAACAAAACTTAATTATTACTATTACCAATTATGTTATTCTAGGAGTCCTACAAAAAAACAAAGAACTTGTTAATAAAATTAAAGTTTAAGGACAACTGGACAAAAGCATGACATAATCAACCGATATTTAAATATATAAATGAAATTAAAATTCAGAATCAATATTGGCATTTCAAATCTTGATTGCATTTTGCCAAAATATTTGTTAAGGCAATTTTAATAATTTAAGTTTTGAAAAATAAAATTAATTTTTTTGTACAATTGAAATAAGTTGTTATATTATGTTATGGACATATGAGAGTCTCAGAAGCAGAGTGGAAAAATCTTTTTTTGCTGCAATCGGTTATGTACGTCTTCTAAAGTCAGTGATATTAGTTTCCAGTTTCGAAATAGTTTTTTCCTATTTATTTTTCACAAAAGTACTTTTGCTTTTGTAAAAATTTTCTGATTTTTCAAAAGCAAAGTGGCATAACCCACATTGTGGCTTACGCTACTCTGCTTCTGAACCCCTCATATAATATTTGCGGTTTCACAGCCTTGATATAGTGTACATTCTATGCATAAAAATTTTTCATTAATGAAACAATGTAAAGTAAAATGTTCATACATTGCACCAAAATTTTTTTTCATTCAATTTAAAACAGCAGTAAAAAACATTTGAGCTCAAAATATATTTTTTATATTTTAGTTCAAAATGTTCGTAAAAATAATTTACAAATAATTTAATTACAATAATAAAATCAGTTAAGAGTTTGTAAAATAAGTTAAATTTGTGTATTTAAAAATTTTATAACGCGCAATTTTTTCGGAAATGCTCCTTTTTCGTATGAGCTATCATTTCCTTGTAAGAATTGAATGATATATCGCAATATTGGCAAGATTTCGATATTTTGTCCAAATACTCATGAGCAATTGCTGATGTTGGACGCGCGTTTTTAAGTTTTTCATTGTTAATAGCTAATTCTACTTCAGTATGAAGTGCTTGCATATGACGGACCCATGTTTCTGGAAACTGAAAAGCTCTGCAATTTTATGTAAATACATATTTAAATCGTACATTTTAACACTTAATAAAATATTAACTTACATATGGCAAATATCACATTTTAAACCATATTTAAACTTGCCAATTCTTTTCTGTGTATTATTCTTTAAAAAAACAAGTTAAATTTAAAATATTATATTTATAAAAATTATATAGAAATTATTGGATTAAAATTTACCGATAAAGATTTCTTTTTATTTTTTGTAGATTCTGCTTGGATTTTTTGCTTTTTTTCTGGTATGCTGTCATCCAAATCTGATACTTGCTTTTGTTCAGATTTACTAGATTTTTCATTTGATGGAGTAATTTTTTTGTCACAATAATCAGAGAAATATGAAGCAGAATTTTCTTCGTTTGACTCTATAATATTTTGCAATTCCATATCACAATTTTCAACAGCAATGTCGTCTTTAGAGGATTCATCCTCCAGAAATGTTCCGATTCTCTGAGCTTCGGTATTTTCAATTTTAGATCCGGAATCTAAACTTTCAGTAAAATTCCTCGTAATTGATTGACTTTGCTCACTATCGCTATCGTTAGGCTCTTCTTTAATTTGTAATAAACAATCAGAAAAATTAGATCCTATGCTAGGTTTTCTTCTTTCTATCGAATTTTTGGATGAAAAATCTGTAGTTACAGATAAAATTAGAGGTGTGTCAAACTTTTGACTAGATTTTTCTAAGTTATCAGATTTTGAGGAAATGGCAGAAGTTGTTCTAGGATCCGGATCAATAGCAATTTCTTTGTTAACTGATAGATTAAATTGCTTATCCGGAATTGCATCTGATACTGATTTTGTGCGTTGTGCTATTCTGGAATACTGCCTTATATTTAAAACGCTCCCTTCTGCAGTTTTTAAATTAGAAAACGGAGAAATATCACGTTCAGTAGAATGGTTTGTGCTTGATAATATTTCAGGATTAATTGGAGTTGTTAAACCAAAATTTTTATTTGAATCAGTTGATTTTCCTCTATAGAGTCCACGAATTTTTAATAATTCACCACCACTTAAAACTTCTTTTAATATATCGTTTGAAACTGTTGATTCTCCACTATACATGTATTGAACTAAAACTTGAATAGCTCGTCGACTTAATGATGGAGGTAAAACCAAATACATTAAACCGTTTTGAGGTGGTATATGGGGTGTTAATTCAAATACCGTTGCAAAAAACTAAAATATAAAAAAAAATTAAAAATAAGCTCTGAGAAATAATAAACAATAAGTAGTTAAAAGATAAAATAAAACTTACTTTACTGCTAGCACTTAAAATTACTTTATGTGCTGGAACCCCAGGACCTCCAAGACAATCTGGATGACTACTTAGAAGCATTACGTCAGCAAATCGATCATGTCTTAAAAATTTAATTTATATTTTAATAAAATATTATTTTAAACTATTTATCAATGTAAGTTAATTTTTTTATTGTTTTTTATTTGAAAATGCACTCCAAAATAAATTACATATTATTTGTAAAAAAATTTTGTAGACAGATCAAATTTACTTACTTGTATAATTCAGCTACTGACATATTTAAATGCATTGAATGAGAGCCCCATTTCAAATGATAATTTTCAGCTACTATAGCCGCGGACATGTTTATAGATTAATTTCAAATTTTTATTTAAATAAATGTATGTATATATATATATATATATATATTTGTATATATCGTTGTAAAAAACCAATTATGTATGTTTTATTTTAATTATACCATTGAATCAATTAAATTAGGACCATTATAAATTTGATTAATGTTACTTCAAATCACAACAATTACCATATTTCTTGAATTTACTTCCATTATTATTATTTTTTTCATTAAGCATTAAATTTCATTAAGCATTCATTAGTAATAAGTAATATTCAAAATAATTTCATTCACTTATTTGCGTATTGCGTATGAGTGTGATTCAATTCAAATAAATTTAATCAATTATTTTCAATGTTTAAGCGTATGAATTTGATGTATGTATGTATGTATTTTAACATATTTTTCTTTGTTACTACTAAATCCACTAAAGTTCTCTACGATTTAATATGATGCAAACATTTTTATTCTCCAGATTTTTCATATACTTTTTTTTTGTTATTCTGTTTTTCTTTTTTCAACAAATCGATCAATAAATCAATAAATTATTTCTATTCAGTTTTATAATAGTGCATAAATACATTATTATAACATCGTGTATGAAGCATAGTTCGTTCTTAACTGAAAATATACAAAAAAAAAAAAAAAGGATTTCAAACAAAACAAAGCAATAACGTAAAAATAATAGGAAAACGATTTTCATTGATTTCTTACAAGTATGTACATACATAGAAACTTTTAAGGACATTATAAAATCCCTGATCATAGTTTAAAAATAAAATTGTTTAAACCATAAACTAATATTCTTTGGTCAAGTCAAGTATACAACAAACATGGCTCAAGGAAGTCTAGATTTTATGATGGATTTCAATTTAAATAGATTGCAGTTTCCTGATCCTTTATATATTTTAAAAGTATAAACTATTTTTAATAAATGCATATAAGTAATTAGTTTTATTTAATCTTAAGCTCTATTCTAATATTTTAATATATTTTATTATATTTTTAATTTTATTCCACGTAATTTTCATATGAATCAATATTAAGCTCGGCAATTTTGAATAACAAAATCAAAATTTTGGCATTGAAGATAACTAATTCCATACTTGATTCCATAAAATTCACTTAAATTTTATTGATTCCAATTATTGATTCCTGAACAGAAAACTTGTTAGATGGTCACCTTATATTAAATAGTGGTATGTTTCAATGAAATTTTCAATAAAAAAAAAATCGATATTTCATTTAAATTCCATTATTTTTTTTTAAGCAGAAAGCATTTTATTGACCAAGCTATTTGTAAAAAAAAAAACAAAAACAAGCAATCCATTTTAATTAATTGATTAACAGGTTGTTTAAAAATTTTTGTTTTGTTTTTAGAAAGCAATAAGTTAAGAATTTTAAAGATCAACATGAAAGACTAATTTGGACAACACTTTAGGTTACAAAAAATTAAATTGTGACGATTAGTAAACACAAACTATTTACGCGTCTACATATGATTCCATTAAAAGAAAATAATAAAGTCTAAAGAAAATCTTTTCACACGTAAAATATTTTTATTAACAAATTAAAGTAAAACAGAAATCAATATATGTATGTATGTATGTATATGTACATAGATGGAGAGATAATAAGTGTTAACCGAGATATAAAAATCAATAATATTATTAAAAAATTTGTACTCTCATATGTATGTACATATATAAATATTTATTTAAATAAACTTAATAAACAAAATTATTCAAATAAGAAGTTTTAATACAAAATACATAATTAATTTTTCCTCAAAATTGTAATTTCCGCGTTGTATTTTCATTTTGAGAATAAAATATTTGTTTCACTTTTATACAAAATTTATAATTTTTAATAACTTACAATTTATTTTTTAATAATAAAAAATACATGTATGTATGCATGTATACGTAGGTAACATGTAAATATTACAATTTACAATAATTCTTTTTTAAGTTTATGTTTTTTTTTTTGTTATTTTGATTATTGTTTTATACTCTAAAAAAAAAAGTATATTCATCTATCCTTAAGGACGAACAAAAGTTAACTGAGATTTAAGAAATTTTATCAATTTTATTTTCCTGTGTCCTGACCTGATATTATTTTATGCTATGCTATAATAGTATACTTAAAGTAGTGACGGGAAGATTTTTATTATTTATTTATTATTGTTGTTAGAAAACTTATTGATTTAATTATATATTTTGTACCTATACAAAATATTTTACTATTTTACAAGGTTATTGTTGTTGATGCGTAATGTTAATAATCGTAGGTACCTACCTAAATATATAGTAAGATTTAGGACTCTATATTTGTTAATAAAAAAAATTTACAACCCAATTTAAGTGGAAATTAAAAATTTATTAAAATAATTATTAACTTCAGAAAAAGTAATTTGGTCTAATAAGAGACGAATTGACATAAGGTCTAATGAATGAAAACAGTAAAAGATGAACGAAAAAAATTGAAAATGTTAAACGGTATTTTTCTTTAAAATTTGTTATAAAACGGTATAGGGTGTAAGTATAAGAAGTAAGTAGGTGCGGTACCTATTTATCTCACTTTTTATAAAAAGTCGATTTGTTGAATATGGTCAGTGCGGAAAGATGTTAGCTTGATTAGAGCTTGAACATAATTTATAATTATCTAGTGTAGGAGGAACTCACTCACTTATTTTAATTACAACAAACACCTAGTTTTATTTTCGATATCGGTTAAATACTCAAATATTTAAGCACCTGCAATATTTGAAAATTATGTGGGCTAAAATATTTGAATATAAATACAATATTAGTCTCGTTTACTGCCTTACGTGCATACGCATGTCATGTAGTATTTTCAGATGTGTTAATATTAGAAAGAACAGGCAATGAAAATTTTATATTATAGTTTTCTTTTATTATAACTTGTGAAGTAAGCTTCTGACAAAGTCTAAACATGCCTACAGAATTTAAAAAATAACAGTTGATCAATTAAAAAAGGGATCTATTAAAATTTTAAAATTAAAATTTAAAAAATGTTTAATTGATATACAATGCGTATATAGTATGTATATGAATGAATATCGTACTTACTATTGTCGCGAAAAATGCCAAACCCATATTCTGTTATTCGCATCACTTGGGGTAATGGGATATTATTGAAAAGAATTTTGTTATTCAATATAAAATTTCGAATTACGAAATTGGTTTTGTTCAGAAAATTATAAGATTTTCAAACAATTTATTACGTGAAGTGATGCAACTAACAGAATATGGGTGTTAACGTAGTTATTTGGGGTTATCATTAATACTAAAGAAGAAATAAGTCATTTGGATAAATAGATTTTTTTAAAATTGATCTCAAATCGAATTTTTTTATGAAATTAATTTAACCGTTCCAATTATACAATTGGAACGGTTATATATTCGCAATTTTTTTAGTTTTAAGAACAACAAATTTGGGACAGAATTTTAATTAGAATAAAAAGAATATATGTATGTATTGCAAAGGGCTGTAACAAAGTATATTTATTTTAAATATATTATTAATGTATATTTATTTTTATAATTACAAAAGAACTCTTTTAATATTTTACGGAATTATACTCAAAACAAATTGCAATAATCTTATATCTTTAATGTACCCTCTTTTAAAACTTCACGTTTATACTTCATATTGAAAATGACAACTGCGAATTTTCTGTAAAATGAAATTTCAACGTTAGACGTTTCTTTGGTGGTAGCGTTTTTCAAATAAGGTTCAAAATTTAATTTTTTTTTGTTGTACAAGTACATTTGTAGCAACAATACAAATTACATTTTCATATTCGAATGCAAATAATTATATTTTCCAGTATAAATGCAAAAAAGTAGTAAAAACCTACAATTGTGATAAAATTAACAATACTGTGGGATTCCCTTATTTTCATTTTTATATGTAGCTACATATATAAAGAGAAGCTCATTTTAACGAAAAAATACTAGGTCTGTTTGTCTGGTATAAAAAAGTTTTTAAAAGCACTCACTAATTATCATTTTAATGTTAGAGATAACTATTTAAAAATAAATAACAAAATAAGCTTTAATTTCAAATAACCTGCGAGATGATATTTCATTCTTGAAGTAAAAATTATTTTAGCTAAATATTTATACAGATATTAATTTTTCCAAATAAAATGCGTTCATTTTTTTCAGAATACCAAATTATAAATAAAATGTAAATTTTTAGTTTGGATGCAAAATTCGTAAGCCAAGAGTTTGAAATAAGAGGAACACCCTATATATGTAGCATTCATCACATATTATAAAGGAGAAAGTTAGAGCAGAAAGACTGAAAGGAACGAAACTGATTTCACTTACCTTAAGATAGCACTTCCATGCCTTCCTTTACAGAATATAAACACAAAACTGGTATTTAGTCAATTTAAATAGTTGTAGGAAGTTACAACCACTCAGGTTTATAATAACCACTACAATAATAGAGGATTTTAATCAAACTTAATCTACTCTCTGGAGACCATTCGAGCCCGCCTATCTTTGCCTTTCGATGATTTTTAACACCTCTTCTGAAAAAAACATAGCATCTCTGGTGGGAATAATACAAATAGTACCACAGTTTTTTTAAGGAAATAATAATAATTATAGAATGTATTTAAAACTTGCTGCATTTCAACCGTAGCTACTTCAAATAGAATTGAATACTTTGATATTTGTAGCAAAATATTTAATTTAAGTTCAAATAATGGCTTTTACATACGTTATTTCCTAAAAACGTTTCTTTTTTATGCAAGCGAGGAGAAAAGTTAAAATAAGAGTGGAAAAAATTCTGTACTAGTATTCTTCGTGTAAAATTTGTCTTTTTCTTCCAGACAGAATCTGATATTTTTTTTTTTTTTTAATGGTGTGGAAAGAAAACTTCCTTTTATTCGGAATAAAATACTTTTTATTTTTCGCTAATATATTACGTGCGCTACATACGCACCTTATCAAAGCTGATTTTCTTCTGATATGAGAATCTGATATGTTTATTGTAACACTAATGCTTTAGTATATTATTTTTAAAGTTCTTTTGTATTTTCTTTTAACGACGTGTGTAAAAACCCCAATTGTTGTCATTGACATTGTTTGCCTACCGCAAATATAAAAAATTTATATATATGTATACACTTTGTAACAAGCTTCGCTACTTTTTTCTATATTATTTTGTGAAATAAAAAGGGGAAATAATAAAGATGGGAAAATTTTATAGGCAAAAAAATAATCGTTTTCGTCGTAATGCTCGTCCTAAAAACAAAAGAACCAACGAAGAACCCGGCGCAGTTGTTGAGAGGTAAGTTGCAGATGCAAGAATTGAAGATTCTTAAATCTGCTAATTAAAATATTTAACCTCAAAAATACTTTTTAGAGAATTAAAATTAAAAAATCTATCTGAAATCGATGTTGGGATTACTGAGTTTGTAAGTGTTATGGAAGGGTTTACTGGTGTTTTAAAAGCCCGGTTCTCTGATTTTCATGTAAATGAAATTGATCTTGATGGCAATGAAGTTAAACTTACAACTCAATTACTACCAACACCAATATGTACCGGTACAACATACACATTTGATCCAAAATATACTATTGATTCTGATACTAATACGTTAAATATGCTTTACAGATTTAGGTGCTGTTAAACTAGAAAAAAATAAAAAAGATTTAGAGGCTATTTTGACTCCAGAAGTTTGGTTGAAAGTCGATAATTTACTCAAAAGTAGTTCTATGGAAGATAGTGTTGATATTAATGTTAATGGTTTAACAAAAGAGAGGAGAGAAATGGTTCACAAAACATTGAAAGAAGTCTATGGAAATAAAATAATAAGTACTACTGATACAGTAAATAACCAAAAATTTATAAGCATATCTAAAGCTAAGGGAGGACAAGGTAAATGAAAATATGTAGTAGTATAATCATAATAAATATAACCTATTACGTTTAAAACAATTTAGGAGAAAAACGAATACGATGGACATGGCCTGGAGAGTACGTACATTTCGTACTTCACAAAGAAAACACAGATACTGTACAAGCCGCGTCTGATTTGGCCAGTAGATTGAAGTAAAAATATGGAAAAACGCTGTTTATTTAAAATTGTGAATTTTATTTAATTTTAGAGTTCATCCTTCTCACATTAATTATGCAGGAACTAAGGACAAACGTGCTAAGACAACCCAAAAATTTTGTGTTAGAAAGAAGGAACCTGAACATATTTTACGATCAGCCAGAAATTTTTCATACCTTAAAGTGGGAAATTTTGAATTTAAAGATAAAGTTTTAAAATTGGGCGAGCTTAAAGGAAATAGGTTTTGTTTTTAATTTTTCTAATCTTTTCAATTATGTAAACTTTGTTAATTTTTAGATTTAAAATTGCTTTGCGTCATATTGACGGTGATGAAGACAAAATAGTAAAATGTCTTGAGTCTATAAGAGAAAAAGGATTTATTAACTACTATGGTTTACAAAGATTTGGAAACTGTGCCGATGTTCCTACGTATTTAGTAGGAATAGCGCTTTGCAAAAGTGATTACAAACAAGCTTGTGAGCTAATTTTAAAGCCGCGTGAAACAGATCTGCCATTTTTAAAAAAAGTGCGAGAAACATGGTGGGAAAATAGAAATTCTGCTGAAGCAGCAGCCATGATTAAAAGCAATAAATTCATTGAAAAAAAATTGCTTAGCGGATTAGCCGACTTTGGCGAAAATGATTATGCGAATTCTTTACGTCGCATACCTAGAAACATGTTGATGCTCTACACTCATTCTTTCCAAAGTCTCATATGGAATCGAATAGCATCTAAGCGTATAGAAAAATATGGATTAGATTTACTTGTTGGCGATTTAGTTTTCCGTGACGATATTCAAAGTGAAGAAAATGTTGAAGAAATTGTGGAAAATATTGATGAGGTCTTACAAAATGAGGAGTCAGCTGAACGACGTGATGAAGACGATACTGAAGCAAATGACCAAAATAATGACAATGTTGACAATAAAAATGTTGAGGTTAAATCTAAATATAAAGAAAAAGTCCGACCATTACAATTGGTAGACATTAAAAGTGGTAAATATACAATTTATGATGTATTGTTACCTCTTCCTGGTTGGGATGTGTCGTATCCCAAAAACGAAACTGAAGAATGGTATAGAGAGGCTTTGGAAGAACATGGTTTAACATCTGAAAAGCTTAAAAATAATGTAAGAACTTATTCCCTTACTGGAGCTTATAGAAAACTAATTGTAAAACCAGAAAATATGAGCTGGACTTTTAAGAAATATGATTCAACCACATCTGTTTTAATAGCATCAGATTTTGAAAATTTAAAAGGGAAAAAAGCAGACGACGACTTGCCAGACGGCAAGTATAAAGCGCTCCTGTTGGATTTTACACTACCATCGTCCTCATATGCAACAATGACCTTGAGGGAAATTTTAAAAGCAGACACATCAGTAATGTCTCAAGCGCGTATAGGAATGGAATCTGAATTAAGAAAGAATGAAGAAAACGCTAAAAGAGAACATGAAAATAATTCTGCAGAAGACGACCAACCAGCAAAGAAAATTAAAATTTAATTATTTTCTACACAGTGTGCAAGACCAAATATTTCTGGCCTACAGTAAATGTGTTTGAATAACAATATTTCATAGATTAAATATATTTCAAAGCACGTGATATCTGTTGGAACTTTTCAAAATAATAACATATTTAAATACTTAAGAAAAGTTTTTGATGTGTTAAATTTGTTTTTTTTTGTTTGTGACATACATACATATATGTATGTATTATAGTCAAGCGTGTTCCCCATTTAAAGTAAATGCACTTTCTTTTTATATATTTATTAAAAGTTCTAAAGTTATAGAATTTTATAATATATTTGATGTTTATTTTTTATTTTAATTTAATTTTAGGGACAAGTCATAAATTTAGAAAAATATATAAATTTTTAGTATTGTTTAAACTAAAACAACGCTGTACACAAAGTATACATAGGTAGGTAGAGGTACGGCAGCTTTCTTCATCAAAGCCAGGCATTATCTTTTTTAGCGCACTTATTGTGCTAAAATTCTTTTGAAAAATGAAATTTTCTCATATTTCTTTGTATGTTCATGCACGTATATATATGTATATTGAAAAACTAAATGACTACCGATATTTTTAAAAATGTACTTTGCGTTTACATTTATGACTTTGGGAGCTGGAAAAATTCAATGTTGACTAGAAAAACTTCATGTTACTACTTATAGTGGAGTTCATGTTACTACTTGTTTTTGTTCCGTTAAGTTATTTAATTATTCAATTTTTATAGCATTTAAAATATACATATATATTAAAAGAAAACTACCAAACCTATTCTACTAATTTTTCTAAATCTTCTGATATTTTATTTTTTTTTTGACTTGCAGTAGTAAAAATAAAACTGCGTATTTGCTAAAATTTTTTAAAACTTTAGTTTGCAGTTGTAGTTAAAAAAAAATGCCAAACATTGTTGCATTTTCAAAAATACTTTTTTTTTAGTTCGAGTAGCACTAAGAGGATGCGAATTAAGTATACTAGAACAGACCTGAATTTTTTCTATATGAAAGTTTGGAAAATTATTTCAATCTGTGAACAAAAATGAACGTCTTTTAAAATTTGTTGCGTCGTAAAGTAGTGGTAAGGTGTTAATGGATGTTCATATGATTGTAGTAAGACTTCTTAAAATTAAAGGTGATATGGCAACGCGAAATATAAAAAAGGCAAGTTGAATTTGTTTATTGGGATATTTTTTATACGTAATATTATACATAATGATAAGTCAAACAAAAAAAAATATAAGTCAAAACAAAGCACAATTTGTTTTTTAAACGATAAAAACAATTCCAAAAGCAAAAATTTCAATTCAAGGGATTTCTTAATTATATTTCCTAGCAGTTTGCTTCAATATGGGCTATATTCATTTTCCTACTCAATTCACCGAAGAAGAATTAATGCTGCAAGCTAAATATCAAAAATTAAAAAAAAAGGTTTATGTCGATTTGAAATTGGAACTACATACTTAATAAAGATTATGTATTCTTGATTTAACAGAAAAAAGCTCTACAAGCGCTTAAAGCACCGGAACCAGAAAAACCTTTGGCTTCTAAAAGACCAGCAGATGCGAGAGATGCTAGAGAAGTAGCTAGAAAACTTATTAAGAGTGGTGCCATTCCAGCTATTCAAAAGCAACAAACAAAACAAGATCAAACATCATTTAAAAGACCGAAGGGTATTTATAGCAATAGCAACTTATTATTACTAAATGTTGAATTTTAAAATATTTTGTGACCAGGACAAGAAAGAAAACGAATTCAAACAGATTCGAGCATATCTTCGTATCAACCATTTTCTTCAACCCAAAACGATGTGCAAGACACATTAAGTGATATGATCAATGATAAAGAACCAAAGTATTTAAAATGTATTTGTTTTATCTTGTAGTTGTTATTTATAATTAAAATATTTGTAGTCGAATTCAAAATTTGTATCAACAATTTGCTGAAATCAGAGACCGAGATGAAAGGGGATTGAATGATAGAAAGGGAGATACAAATCGTGGTGAAAAACCTCGTGTTGGCAATACAATTTTTGTGTCTGGAAACAAATTGACGGAAGAATATTTAAAAAAACATTTTGCCGATTTTGGCACAATTGTAAATGTTTCCATGGAAATAGAAAAATGGTAAGCCAATAGAAAAATGGTACAATGTTTAAAGATATCATATTGACAGTGATATGACGGTTTTATAATAATGTTAATTTTCCAATAGTCGGGGATTTGTTACATTTTCTAAGCCAGAGTCATCTGAAAAAGCTATAAGTGAAATGCACCAAAAAAATATAGGTGGTATACAGTTACAAGTTCAATTGGCTAGAAGGCAACCACAAATTAATCCAATTAATGACGCATCATCTTCTGCAGTGTGGGCTACTTTAGGTATTTTTAGATTAAATGCTGTAAAAACCTTAATACAATTTTTTTGATTTTAGCTGCAAGTCAATCTCAGAAAGGTAGTCATAAAGATAAAAGAGAAATGGTTACGTATGACGAAGACTTTTTAATGGATTAGACTTTAAATTTTCCTCATGTTGAGTGTAAACAATATTTTTAACATCGTAAACAAGAACAATAAGATATTGAATAAATCCTTGATTTGGTAGTCTCCGTGTACTGCAAAAATGATAGCAAAATTAATTCTCTTAAAAAAATATGAACATAAAACAGTTCGATCTTAAAATAAGTTTAATTAATAAACAAGAATTACTCTTTTCAAATAAATAAATAAAATAACATTTGAAAATAAAAAAATGTTGATATCAAATTAAATAAACTTTGTGAAAAGAATCGAAATAAAACACAAATTTGATAGTTTTAATTAATGTTCTTCTTTGTTTTTCTTTTTTGATTATAATGAAAAGAACAAGTCAAAAGATTTAATGTTAAATTTAAAAAAAAAAATTAAAATCTTTTATATTGCAGACGATTTTTGACCTATTTTATAATTTTCAAACAGAATAACAAATTTTAAAACAACTAAATAACAATATAGTAAATATAAATAGTAGATTAATAATATAAGTAGATTATATTTTCAAAATATAAAATTTTTATAAGACATTCTATTCAATTAAATATGTAAGTATGTATATTGAGAATTCTCATGTCAAAGTATATTAATTTAACAAAATATGAAAGTAAAAAAGAAGTTTTATAACTTTAAATTTAAAATGCAAAAAGCTTAGAATGGCTATCGAAACAAAGCCAGTTTTATCATTTTAACGTAAGTATGTAAGTAGTATATATGTAATTATGTGATGAAGTTATTATTTACAATTTTTTAGATTACTCTTTATTTCACTGGACGAAACCTCTGATATGTTATTTAAAAATAACAAAACAATAATTAAAAAACAGTGAAAATAATTACTGTCTTCTTCCTTCGTTGTTTGGTGGATTAAAGAAATCCCAATGATGGTGATGAATATTTTTACCAGACATTGCCATAAGTAAAAATCCTAAAGTCATTAATATGAACATAGCTATTAATATTCCTATATTTCTTTCACCTCCTTCTTTTACACTGAACTGCATAGCATTTGCTACTTGAGATAAACGTCGCAATAATGAAGTACCACAGGCTTGTAAAAATTGTCCTCCTAATTGGGCAACTGTTGGTTCTGGCGATCTTCTACTTCTGCTTCTACGTCGATGGTGATCATCATCTGATGAGGAATCGCGTCTTCGATAATGTCTTCGGCGACGAGGTGCTTGTAAATTTGGTTGATATTCTTCATCATCTGGATTACGTAATTGATAAAAGGCTGCAGGTGGAATTGAGTGCATGTACTCTGAGGGGAACAAGGGTGGTAAAGGTGGTCTTGGTGGTATGTCTTCCGCAATAAATGGCCTTTGTTCATACATGTGTTGAGTTTGATGATGTGTCGGTACCCCACGGGATTCAGTTTTTTCTGAAGGAACAGGCTTGGACTTTTGAGTTTCATCATTTTCAACTGTTTGCGTCTCTACTTGAACATGAGTTCTTTCCGTGCTACGAACTCTTTCTACTATGTCTTCAATAAACCCGGGTGGCAGTTCTAAATTTCGGACAACCAAATTTCCTCCTTTACATTCTAGTTCATCAGCAGAGATTTGGCTTCCCTGTAAATTTGAAACCATTATGTGACCTGCCTGTAGTGCGTGAACCCTTAATCTTTCGACCTCTAGGTCGGCTAATGCCATATGACTAGGCAAACTAGTTTGAGACGGTACAGTTGAAATGTCTACGATTGGCTTTTCAGATACAGGAGCTAAAGCAGTAGTTTCCAAAGCGACTGATTTTATCTGGTCTTCTTCAGCAATATTTGGCACTGACGGACGTTTTCTAGGTGGACGGCTAGGAGCTTCAAATGTTTGCTTTACTATTTCTTGTTCTTCTATGAAGTCTTGACCTTCTTTTACCGTTTCTTGTTTTTCAGTTTCAAGTAGATTGGCTTCCTGTTTTTCAGCTTCTTCAGCTGCAGAAAATTCTTTTTCCAGTTGTCTTAATTTTTCCATAATTCGTCTGTCTTCTTCTTCTTGTCGTTCTAATTCCTTTATTTTTTCCAGAATTCTTCTATCTTGCTCCTCTCGTTGCCTTCGCTCTTCTTCTTCAGCTTCTTTTTGCAAACGCCTTTTCTCTTGTTGCTCCAATATTTCTAGTTCTTTCAATTTTTCAATTGTTTTTCGTTCTTCTTCTTCTTCCATTCGTTGCAGCTCTCGTATTTTCTCCATAATTAGCCTTTCTTCTTCTTCTTCTTTTTCTTTTTGAATTTTCCTCATTTCTTCCCTTAATTTTTCTCTTTCTTCTTCTTCCCGTACTAGTTGCTCTTCTGCAGCGAAATCCATCAGTCTTTCTTCTTCATAACTTTCACCACTGTGTTCACCAACAGATTTTACAGTTGAAGCCTGATAACTAACAGATTCATTAAAACTGCCATCACCTTGTAATGATGTTTTTGTAATGTTCTCTTCTATGTCAAAGTCGTGATCATCTATGGGTTGAACAGTAAGTGATGCTTCAAGCATAGTCTCGTTCGTTCTAGAATTAGGAATTGGGGTAGGAACACGTTTTTCAACAACTATTGCGGCAGGTGTTTGTGGTCTGCTGTGTGATTTTGAACGATCTGCAGCCGAAGACGCTCTAGATTTTTCAGAAAAGCTTCTTTGTGTTGATTCCCTAAATCGTTGAATGCCTCGAGTTAAATTATCATCACCATTCCACTTTACACCTTCCATTTCTTTATCGTCTTCTTTAAGGATATCTTCCAAAGTTTTAGAATTTCTTGGTTCAATTATTTTCATATCATCAGTTATTTCAAATTCCTCAAAAACAAAATCATCTGGCAAAGGGTCTGTTTGTGTGGAAATTTCTACTTCAAAAGCTGCCTCTGTTGCAATACGTTCCCCTTCGCCATCATGATCGTCGAAATCATCTCTTTCCAGTTTGTGCTTCGATTTATCTCTTTTTTCCCTTGGTGGTCTAGGTGGAGGAGGAAGAGGTCTGTATTTCATCTTATTTATTATTTCCCCCGATTTCAGTTTAAGTGGCGAGTCTGCTCTTCTTTGAAGGTTTTCTTCAATATCTAATTCTTCGTACTGAGTTGCATCTGGTATAATTCTAAATTTTACAAGACAAAAGAATTACACAATAAGTTAGATTGCATTATTTTATTTACCTAGGCTCTTCTGAATGTTCTAAAGACGGTCTCCGAGGTGGTCTGTCTGGTGCGATGGTACTGTAATTGCGTTTAGGTCTTTCGGGGGGTGGAGATTTTTTAGGTAATGGCATGGTGGAAAAACGACTTGGAGACTTTTTTTGTCTTGAGGGTGGTGGAGGTCTTGGTGGAGGCTCCTTACGAACGACAGCATAACTAGATTATTTTAAAGAAATATTAGTTTTAGGTATGACCTAAAAATTTAAAGTAAATTTTAAATGGATAAACTTAAACTAACCCATGGGAATCTTCCATTTCAATCCTGAACTTTTGCTCGTTGTCTCCGCTTTCCATAATAACCAGCGCCTCATCTATGAAAGACTCAGCTCCTCTAGAAGTTCTGTCATCTTCCTCGTTATTCGTTCTTGAGGTAGATCTTCTCTCATTCATGTCAGGGGTACCCTCATAACTTTCCGGCTTCGCTAAGGGGATGACATATTCATGCTCTGTTCTGTAAACAATCATCTAAAAGGTTTGAGAAATAATTTAGATCGATATAAATTTAGAAATATGCAATGAGAATTTTGATAATTATTTTACATCTTGATGTGGTATGTTTTCTTCCAAATAAGTGTTTGAAACTGATCTTCCGCCAAACCCATTCATAATCAAATCTCTTTCTTCACTTTGTGGGGTTCTCTTTTTTCTACGTTTTGGCGCTATTGGCTTAGCGCTCATGTCTTGAAATTGCAACTCTTCCTCATCATCATATTTATGTGAAACCATCATATTGGGATCTTCCAAGTTTATTTCCTTATGTTGATAAAAATCTTTATCAATTTCTTCAAAATATGGTATATCTGATTGGCTATCCTGTTGAAATCCTTTTTTCGATCTACGAAGTGGACGATTTGGTGGTATATTTTTAAAGAAATCGCTTCCAGTTTGTGGTAAAGAGATATTGTCTCCATAATTTTCTTTTTGTTCTATGTCGAATTCTTGAGAAATTTCCTGAGAGTCGTCAACATTTTTAGCCAAATTATTATACTGTTGTTTCTGGCGTTTTGGCTTGCGTGGTGGAGTACGAGGAATATTATATCCAAAGTCCACATTATCACTACTTATTCCGATCATTGAATCTGGATATTCTCCTTGAGAGCTGCCAAGTTGTTGGAGAGTATTAATAGGATTATCGAAACCTTCACGTATTGCACTACTAATATATTGTCGGATTTCAATGTTATCTTGTGAAATTCCTCTCTTACGTAGGAAGAACTCATCATCGTCAATTTCCTCAATGACACCTTTTTTGGTTGAACTACCAGTTGATTGAGTTTCGTGGTTTGCTAAACCCTCTTCTGATGGGTAATTGTTACTATAACTTTCGGATTCCATTTCAGCTCGTTGAAGCATTTTATTTCGCAAAACATCTTTGTCTGACCATCCAACATCCCTACTTTCTTCAGATAGGTTGGAATCTTGGTGTATCATTGGACGGCGATGCTTGAATTCTGCTTCTCGATCGCGTGAAATCTTATGTATCTCTCGATTTTCTTCGTCAAATTCAACAAATTGCTTCCGACTTGGATCACTAATAAGGGCGAGTTCTGCTTCTTCCTGAGCAATTAAATCATCTTTCATGCGCCGTTCGACTGATGATTCACGTTCAAAGCTTTCAATTTCACTTCCATAACGTTGAAAACGTCCACTTTCACTATCTCCCCCATAACTGACATCAGAAAATTTATCAGCCCATCTTGAACCAACAGGTCCTTTGTCACGTGTTCCACGTTGAACAGTTGGTTGACTAGATTCTACTGATGGAGGTGTTTCAGTACTTGGTTGCGTACTTAAATCTGTTGGTTTTACTATATTTTCAATGGAATCCCGAATCTTCTTTCGCCTGAGTGCTCTTGGATATGTACCAAAGGTAAAATCGAACTTCTTTTTACCCGCAGGTTCTTTTTCTTGAAGCGCGGCCGCAGATTCTGGTGTTGTACCACTTTCACCGGTTTGTACAGAAGTGTCTCCTTCCTTAAATGATCTACTTCGCTTTAGTTTAAGAGATGAGAATTTCTCTGGTATTTTAAATTTCGACATATCAACTTTAGTGAATTCAGGTCTTTTAAAATCAGGTTTTTTAAATTCTGGCTTTTTAAATTCAATTTTCTTTAAGTCTCCTGCTTTAGCTTTTAATTTTGACATGTCCGGCGATTTGAATTTCGGCATGTCCGGCATTTTGATATTTGAAAAATCAGGCGCTTTGAAGCGCTTTTTATTTTTAGGTTCACTTAAGGCAGATGCATCATCGTCAACTTTTGTTTCTGTAACAACTTCGGAAACAACTAAAACATCACCAATCTCAGTTTTACTTACTGTTTCTTTTTTAATTAAAGTGGGTTTTCTAAATGTTGGCTTTTTAATGCCACGTACTTTTGTTTTCACTTTACCAGCTTGGTTTCGAATACCTGCTTTAAAACGACGGCTTCGGTCTTGAGCACTTGCTAACAAACCCTTGCGGCGGTTTTCAGGTTTAAGTGGTAATTCTTCTAAGGCACTTGTATCCACTTGACTAGTACGAATTTCAGTATCAGTTCTAGATTCTGAGCGTGGTGTTGTAGTTGCTGAGCTTAAATAACGATCTTCAAGATCTTTTTGTAATAATTCCATAGCAGCTTCTGCTGATTCTTTAATTTGCTGTTCTACTTCCATTGGTTGAGAAATTTGAACCGATGGTACCGATGGTTGCGGAGTTGACTCTTTTTTAGAAGTTGAGGCATTTTGCGATTTTGCACCATCTTGAGGTTCCCCAATTGGCTCGTATTCGTGATCACTGAAATATAAAAAATTCAATTCATTACTTAAAAAAAAAAAAACAAAAAATATTTTTATTATTTAATTAGTTATTAAATTATTAAAGTAATTTGAATGTTTTAGTTATATTTAAATGTTTTAACACAACTGCAATCAGAACTTTAAACCAGATCAGCAAAGCTAAAGATATTCAATAGCAATAGTATGTCAGTCCTAAGACCTGGCTCGTACTAAAAAGTGCAATGTTCAAAAAAAGTTTAAGAGTTATTTGTACTGTGCATTGGCCTAGACGAATAACAAACTTAAAACTCTATTAAATTAGAGTCAGGAAACTGTAGAAGAAGAATCATCAATAGAAAGAAACGGAAACGGATTGAGTATACACTCTGAGGAGCACCGTGCGCAATAATGTGACAGGCGACGGAAAGAACCCGTAGAGCAGTAAAAAGGAGTGTAGAAGAGTAAGACTAATATGGAAGAGATCAGTTGCAAAGGAATGGTCGCTAACAAAATAGAGTTTGATTTAGAAGCTTTGTGTAAACCCTATGTCCATTGTAGAAACAGAAAAATGTGTACTTAGCAGTATGAGACGACGAAATTTACTAATGTGGTTTTCTTAAAATATGTAAGTATTTAATTTAGGAACGACTAATTGTTTTTGAAGGGGAGGAAAAATTTATAATAAAATTTATTTAGAGAACTATTTGGGTATTTGCAAGTAAATTGACCAAATTTTTTATCAAACACTATGTGATTGTTACGCAAGTATCTAAAATTAAACGTTAAAAATTCAGAACAGTAAAAGAAAAACCCAAAGTATAGAAAGTCTGTATAAGTTTCATATTATGGAAATTTAGATGGGTTGCAGAACTTGAACAATATTCATATTCTTTAAAAAACCTTTGAAGAATTGATATTGCAGACTTATATTGCCTTAAAATAAATAGAAGTAATTTTAAAATAATGTGTCCATGATCTTGAAAAAAAAATTTTTTACAAACAATGCAATCATATTCTCTATTTTTGTTTTGATTCAAAACAAGTAAATAGATCTAAATAAAACCACATAAATTTTAGCAAATTTTTCTTCCAAAATTTGCTGTATCTTTCGTACTTTGTGCATAATATTCTTACCGCATAAAATAACTTCTCTCTAACCAATCCCTTTTCGTCGCTTTTGTTTTCGATTTTTCATGTTCATCTAATCGTGATGATCGTTGCTCAACAAAATCGAAGCTAACGGTTTTTGACATTCTACCAATCATACTTTCATTTCCCGAATCTTGTGATGAATGGGCTCTATCTTGAGACTGAGTGCGGTCAAAATAATTTTTTCGTCTTAATAATGATGATTGTCTAAGTCTTTGTTCCGATGGTGTACGTGATGGCAATTGTCTAGTTTCTGAACTGAAACGTTGTTGAGAGATCACTTGGTTTATGTTAGCATTCGAACTTTGAACTTTTGTATCTCCTTCTTCAAAATATAGAGCATCGCTAGCATGTAAATCATCGAACTCTTCCGATTGAGAACTTTGATGAGGTATACCAATTGCTACAGAAACTAAATTAGGTGCTATTTGAACCGGTGTAAATATTGAAGCGGGTGTATTTTGAACAGCTTGTATTGGTGCTGCAAATGAAGGTGCTATGCTAGGTTCTCTACTAGTTGATTCGTCATGTTTAACTTTACTTAAGCTTGATATATTTGGTTGACTAGAAGTTATTGACAAAGGTCTATTTGCTAAAGATGACGACTTTTGTTGCTTGGGTTCTAATGGTTGTACTTGCGTTGGTTCATTTAAATTAATTGTACTGACTTTTAATTGTTGACTGCTGTATCGGCTAGGTATACTTGATGTAACATTAGCCTTTGGTTTTGGAGCGTATTGGTCTAATTCATCTACTTTCAATGTAAACGTTTCTTGCACAGATGATGCTATTGCTGGTGTAAGCTTTGACGAATCTGTTAAAGCTATTTTTTGTGGCCCGCCAATTGACATAACTTGATCATTTTCGCCAGCACTTATCATTACAAGACCAGGTTTGACGCTACTTTTTCTTCTACCAGATAATGGTGATAGAGAGGGTGATCTTTCGCGGGACGGTGACTTTTCTTTCCCATTTCTACCGAAAGCACTTAAAAATATTGAACTTGATCTTTCTTGTTTAACTGGTTCACTTTTTGATTCTGTTCCAAAAAGCCTAAATGGAGATTTTTCTCGTACTGGAGATTTTTCTCGGATTGGCGTAGCTTCTTTTGCTTTTTTAGTATCTTTTCCAAAAAGCCTAAAAGGTGATTTTTCTCTTATCGGACTTTTTTCCTTAATTGGAGATCTTTCTCGCATAGGACTTGGCTCTTTGTTTGCATTTGAGTTTGCACCTAGAAGTCGAAATGGAGATTTTTCTCGAATAGGACTTCTTTCTTTCGTTGGAGATGTTTCGACCGTAATTTTCTCTTTTTTTTTTCTTACGGGCCTTTCTGGAGACAAGTTGTCCTTTGATCTTTTTCTTCCAAAAAAACTGAATGATGTCTTTTCTTTGACTGGAATATTACTCAAATTATCATCGCTTATCTGATTAGAACTGAGTAATGTGCTAGTTTGTTGCGAAAAGGCCAAAGATGAAGGTCTTTGAGTGGAATTCAAATCGCCATGTTTACTATTCGGGAAATTAGTTTCAAAATTTGAATGATTTACTGCTCCTAAGGATGTTGCGGTTCCAGAAATTTTGTAAGTGGTTGACTGGGGAGACATACGGCCTGAAGGAATTGATAGTGTCGCATGCAAAACAGTTTGATCTGTTGGCTCAGTATTGAAGTCAGATTGGGATAGATTTTCGGGTGGTAAAAATCTTGGTTGATCATGGTTGATCATGTGATCCTCGTTTCTTGAGTTCATGATTGGAGAGTGGGAAGGAGATGTTCCGAAATAACCTGAAGTCGGCAAAGATGGCGGCGACATTGAACGTGGTGAACCTTCTTCTGATAAACCTGGATGGATTCCTGTTTCTCTTTTATGCAATAATTTTGGGGAATGAAGAGGTGATGATGGACGAGATTCAGCTTTAATACCTTCTTCAACTACTTTATCAGCATCCAATACTGTTGGATCCTCACGTACCTCTACAATATTTGTTGAAATATCAATAGAAATTGTTTGAATTTCAATTTGATTTGGTTCTGTTTTTGGAATTGTAGTCGGTTGGTAAACTGGTTCAATATCAGGAACGTTCATTGAAGTTCCCATTTGATCAAAGCGTGTTGGTAAAGAAGTTTGTTTGATAATTCCCGATTGTCTTTGATTAATATTACTTGGAATATTTTCTTTCTCTTCCAAACCTGCTTTATTTTTACGAAATTCTTCGTATACAGAAAATTCCGGTTTATTGCCACCAATCGATGGAGTTGGTGTTGCACTTATAATATTGAAGTAGGGTAATTCTGTTTTTGAACTTCGTCTTGAATGTAAACTAACTTGTGTTGTTGGTATACATATGTCAGCTACATAAAGATCTTGTTTTGAACCAGACCTTGATTCAATTTTTCGAACACCACTAAAACTACGGTGTGATATAGTATCAAAATCTTGTCTTTGTCCAAAACTTTTCTGTGATAAACGATCAATTGATATACCTCTCTTAACACCATCATATGGTAGTGAATATTCTTCATCGTAAGTTGGTTCTACAATATTACATACAACTAATCCTTGCTTCGCAAGTTCTCCCGGATCGATTGGATCTTGTGTTAATTCAAAACTTTTATTTGATGCTCTATCAAATGATTTTTGACCACCTAAACTTCTTAAAGACATTCGTTCAATATCTGGATGGCGACCATGCATACCTGTGGTACCATCGGTATCAAATGCTTGATATAATGGTTGTTGATTTGGTGATTCAGAATAGTAACCTCCTGGAATATTACTTGCAAATCCTATTTTTGATTCAGGACGTGAACCAACCGGATTTACACGTTCCGGCAATAATGAATCACATTGAAAATATTGGCATGCACAACGTACATCTAATGATATACCACTAGCAGATTCATTACGTGATGTAAAATGCTTTTTTTCTCTTGGTAATGCACCAACTGATGCTGAACGATGTTTTGTTCCTTGTGTTAATTGTTGTTTTGTTTGTTGCAAATTATCTTCATTTAATGAGTTCATTTTTATATTTTTATAATATGTCTTTTATATGTACTATTTTATATTTTAGCGTATGTATAATAATAATGTGAAAAAATAATGGTACATAAGTTTTTTTTTTTTTTTTTGTTATAGTATTTTGTTGTCTAACAATATTCCGAATTTATTTTCTTAAAAATATTTGCGTTGCGATAGATTTTAAAATCAAAACTTTTCTAAAAATAATTCGTCAGAAATAATTTTTTTATTTTTTTTTTGGTTCTTGTTCATATATTTAGCAAAATATTTGTATATATAAATGTTTGATATATCCCGATTCACTTAAATATTTTATATTTAAAATCACTTAAAAAATTTTTATATATGTATTTTTTTTTTTTAATATTATACAATTTAGTACAATTGCGTTAATTTAGTACCGAAACTTTTTATTTTTATTTTGCTAATGATCGCCTTACTTTATTAACTATTTATTTTTTTTTTTTATACTTTATGTAAGAACTTGTAAATATTTCACATATATATATGTATATATATATATATATTTCTTTTAATAAATTAAAATTATTTAATTTTTTTCTTAATTTTATTAAATTTAAAACTAAATATCTTTTTCTTTTTTAATTTTTTAGTTATGTTATTAATAATTTCGCAGGAATGAACCGAAAAATACACGTAAGTAAATTTTTATCTGGCGAAAACTTCGATAAAAAAATAAAAATAAAATAAAAATCGAAGAAAAAATTTTTTATTTTTAATAAATTATAAATATTTTCAATTTTTGTTGAGAAAATAAAAATGAAAGGAAGAAAGGAGATAATTAAAAATAAAATTAAAATAATGAGCCGATCAACGAAAAAAAAAATGTCTTCAAGTGATCTTCATCGTTGCGATTTTCTTTGACTACTAAAATTTTAATGTTCTAAAAGTGAAAATATTATAACATAAAAACAAAACAAAAAAAAAAACAGACCGAAAAAAAAAAAAATAAGAAAAGAAAAGAAAATTTTGGCTCTTCCAATATTCTTACCTCTAGGGGAGAAAATTAAGAAAAAAGTTCTATTATTATATAGCTACCACAGAGTATTTCAATCAACATTATTAAATTGAATTGCCTACCATTTGGTTGATTAAAATATAAAATTTAATTTTTTTGTAAAATAGTAAAATTTTTAGTTTTTATCACAGTCAAACTTGTATCTTTCAAATAAACTTGAATCTTTTTCATTCATATTTGACTCTTTATAAAAATATTCACAATTTCGAAAAAATTTACTCATAATACACATACACAATATATTTAACACTAATAATTTTGTTTATTTAAAAAATATTTGTAATTATTTTAAATAATTTTTGTTTTATAAATACAGAAATATTATTTTAAATTATATTTAAAATATTAATAAGTGTATAAATTTAGTTTTACATAGTGCTTAAAATACAAGTGTTTGCAATGCTAAAGAATTATTTTATGTGTTATTTTAATAAATATTTCAAAAATGAATTCACAACACAAATTACATTATTAATAAAAATAAAATTAAAAAATATAACAGAAGTCTAATTCATATATGATACGGTATGTAAAATCTTAAATTTATTAACTATGAAATAAAATTTGATCTTGAATTCAATTGGTTATATATAGTGAATGGTTTTTAGAACCTTTACCCGAGATAATTGCTTTTTAAATATTTTTTTGCTCTAAAAGCAATACTATTTTTTTTTTAATATTTCGATTTAAATGAAAATTGGTCAATCAAAGATTCAGAAGAGCTCTGAAATCGATAATTTTAATACAGAAGTGAATTATAAGCATTTTTTTTATTTTGCATTGTGAATTAAGTAATTGTATAAAGTATAAATTGTGAATTATAGTTGAATTTTATTCTCAGCTATGCTGTAGTTGATATTTTGCTTTCTTATTAAAATTTACCAAGAAAAAATTTTTTTAAAATAATTTAATTTATTTTGCTATCCTATTTTTATTTTGGTCAACGTTAATTTTCAATAAAGCTTTCACAGCTTTCATCTATTTACAAATTTTTCTCAAAATTAATTTTATTTAAATTTTGTCAATTTTATATTAAATAATTTTTTAAAAAGAAATGCATACATACACATATATATACTATAATGACATTATATGCATAATCATATATAATAATAAATATAAATGTCACAATGCTCTACTAATAAAAAAAAAATGAAAATTACCAAAAAAAAAAAAAAAACTTTTATATTTGAAATTGTTCTCTTTTAATCCCTCTTTATTAAAATTGACGGTGGGCTTTTTTTTTTATAATAAATAATACTTTTAATTAAATAAAAGAAAATATTTTTATGTTTTCATATATATGTATATGTATGTGCAGAATTTAAGTGGGTGCCTGCATATTTTATAAGTTATTATGAAAAAAAGAAGATTTATTATGATTTATAAAATAATTCATTTTTCCTACAATGAATTCAAATATTGAGTTTGAAAGAACAAAATTCATATACATATGTATGTATAAATGTGTTCATATTTGTATATGGAAACGTATACAAATGCATGAAAGCAATGATTAATCAAATTTCATTACAAATTTAAGTTTTCAACAAGATTATAATACAAGATGTATTTGAGAGTATAGAATATCGGTCAAGGACAAGAATATAATTCTATTAAAATCTTGAAAAAATTGCGAAATCTATTGTGAATTTCTTTTATAAATTATATGTATAACAGTTTTGCATTAACCCTTCCGGGAGAATTTTTAATTAATAAATAATTTAATTTGAAATAAATGACAGTGATTAGTTATGACTGTCATAACTATTTTCTAAACTTTTAAATTTGTAGTTGTCATTGATATTTGTATAACAATATTATATCTAAATTCAATAACAATATTTATATCTAAATTTTCTGACTAAAGTAGAATAATTTTGAAAAATACATAGTATACTATACTGTTATAGAACATTATGCTCCAAAATTAATATATTCCAGTTGGAAAAATAATAATAAATATTTTAATTAAAATTTTCTTTCTAACTTACTTAAAATTATTGAAAATCCTTAACATCTATATACGAATCAAATGAAAATTGTACACTAAAATAATTTTACTATTGAAATGCTAAATTGTTGAACAATTAATAATATTAAAGTAAAAAATTAGAATATACGGAACCAATTTTGTTTTTATTACAATGCGTGATTAATTGATACAATGACGTTTAAGTATTTTGAGATACCAACGCAATGCGAACAATATAAAAATTTAATGTCTATAATATGAGTAATATACACCTTAATAAATTGGCAAAGAACTACAATATTATGAATTAACATACATATAAGAATGTTTTATTGATTATGATATGACTCCCTTAGAAGTATATAGTAAGAACATCCCACCTTGAACTATATATCGAGAACGAAATTTTGAAATGTTTATTAGAGTGACAATTTCTACCGAAAACTTTATAATAGGAATTCATCATTTTAGGCTATAGTTTGGGTGCACATAATGAAAGTAAAAAAATATAGCGCTGGTAATTGGTGATTCCGCAGGTTGAGTTTTCCTGCCATGCGGATGTGTGTTTCCACTCAATATAACCGCTAATATAAATATCGATGATCACAAAAATTTATACCATGATTATACCTTGCAGACGAGGCAGTTTGATCTTTTGGTCTCGGATATGTTAGGTCTCGGGGACTGCATTCTTACCATGGACACATGTTTATAATATTTTTCATCAAAATTTTAACATATTATGGATAATTTTAAAGATTAATAAGCATTATTAACCAATATAAAATTGTTTTTAACATAAATCCAGTTTTTAAGTAAAAATTTTCAATTTTTAATTTGTAAGGATTTGAAAATTTTATAAAAAACAAAAATTTATTTCGCATTTTAGGTAATAAAAGAATTTTACCTAACATTTTTTTGAATTTGATCGAATGCCAAAATTTCTTTTCTTTTTTCGAAAATAAAAAATAAAAAATATTTACTCTCCTTAATTATTTTATACAAGGAACTTAATATTTTAATGTACATATATACATACATGAGTGTCGTATACATATTGACACATGTACAATGTATGGGTATACATATCTACATGAAATAACAATTGTTTATGACATGTGCTTTTATAGATCTTAAAATAACTATTAGGTAGGCAAAAAAGAAGCTTTTTAACTTTTAATAAAAATGCTTTTAAATGAAAAATTTTTTTGAGGAAAATTTCTGTTTAGTTTCCTTTGTTTAAATATTAAAAATATAATAAATCTAAAGATAAAACCACCTGTAAAAAATTTTAGTTATTTTATTTATTTTTATTTTTTTCATATATTCTTTAACAAAAATTACACAAACACCATAGCTATAGTTTTTAAGTGTAATAGAGTTATGCCTTACTTATAGGTTGCTTATATTTTAAAATATAAGTAACCCTATAGCACTTAAACGATGAATAAAGTATTCTATTTAGCAATTAATATTGAATTAAATTCAGCAATTTTAGCTCAAAAATGGGGTAATCCCGTTCTTTTTTTATGTAATCGAGTTGATATTAGTTGGACAATTACAGTTTGACTGTGCCGTTTTTTACCACGCACTTTCTCCCACCCCTCGTGACTGGCAGGCCGTTGTTGAGCGTACGATTACAGGCGACCTTCTTAAGTGATCCGGTTCTATTGAGGAATCTATTTATATTCCCGATGTCAATTTTCAATACCACGTCAAGCCCCGTCGCGGTTCTTCAGCCCCACATGATCAGTTTCGTTCCGCCCAGAACCGGACACTCGCAGAAATAATGAAAAATATTCTCCTTCTAGTCAATCTCCCGGCATCTAATAGATGTCGCATTGAAGAACTATCCTATCCTAACCACATGCTTTGCCAACAGCAAATGTCCCGCGTAGAATACCGTCAGGCAGGCAATACCCTCGCCCGTAGCTTTCGCGGGAAGCCCAGCCTTCTTCCAAAGGTTGTACCTTGCCTACATTTTTCTAGCAATCTAGTAGATAGGGATTTTCACCTGCAGTCGGCAAAAATAGATAATTTCTATATATATTTTTACTGTGTTGATAGGAAAAAAAATTTTCATCAGCCCATTAATTTCCCGCTTTATTTTGGTGGCCCGGGACCCAGAGTGGTATGGCACTACGGCGAACCCACATCCTACTTTAGTTTAAGGCTTACGTTATTTTACAAAAATATTTAAATATGTATCTTATGGGGTTTTGCAAAAAACTTTTACATAAACTGTTTACAATACTAATTTGATAGGCCAATTCTGTAGCTTACGAAATTTACAGGTGGTTAATCAAAATATCTTTTGCAATCATTATGTTTTGTTAAAAAAAAATAAATATTTATTTAATGAAATCAATTATTACTTACGCCATATCTTTCCATCTATTGGGGACATTTTTCAATTCTTCAGGTACCTCGATGTCTTCACGCAATGGTTCTGATTCATCTTCTATATGAGAGAATGTTACTTTTTTATCAGCTCCATTTGGTCCTGGTGACGGTTCTTTCTTTAGTACTGGTTTCAATTCTACTTCTTTTTCTTCCTCAATTACAGTAATTGCACTTTCACTTTCTTTAATTCCTTTTTCATCAACACTGGCAGCATCACTTTCCTCGGCCACAGTTGATAATGCAACTCGTCGTTCTTGCTCATCAGAGGATGTAGAATCAATTGATGATATTGGTGCTAAAGTGGCACCCTTATGAAATGATCTCTCTACTTCTTCTTCACTACTGCCCATACGATCTAAAGGTAATTTTTTATTTACCTGAATATCTTTCAAAATATTTTCATCTTGTGCGGCTAATGACTTTTTAAGAGCTTCTACAGAAGCTAATTGTAAAATTTCATCAATTTTCATTGTTAAATCAGAATTTGGATCAATTTCTTCATATACATGCTCTTTCATTTTACGTAAAGTTTTTCTGGGTGGTGAATCTGGAGTATCAGGTTGAGTTATTTCAACAGTAACAGTTGGATGAGGTGGTATTTCTATGATTTCATCTGGTATTAATATACTTGCACCATCAGTACCTTCTTTACGTTTTGAACTTGGAGATTCTTCAAGTTGAACAATTTCCACAATCTCTTCACTGTCTTGTTTTTCAACAAATTTTGGTATTTCACTACGATCTGCTTTAGGTGATTCACGCAATTTTAAAATTTTTTGTTGTTCTTCTAAAACAATTTTTTCATCTCCTTTTAATGGAATTTTTTTGATACTCCGTTTTTTTAACTGTTTATCGGCCATATTTTTTATTTTATCCATTATGGGATGACAACACTTTCCTTTTTTAGGTGATGATTCTTCTTGTTTTGTTTTATTACTGAATTCTGATGGATTATCAGATTCAGTGGTTGCAGCTGTTAAATATTCGTCAGATAATATATCACTTGAATCTTGTATATCAGAAGATGGTAATGGTGATGGGGATGGTGAGGCTGATGATATTGTTGCTGTATCTTTTGATTCGGTAGACTCCTTTACTTCTATTGATTCTTTTGGTTTATTTTCTTGAGATTTTTTCTTTTCACCAGTCTTACGTTTCAATATCCCCTTAAGTTTACTAAATTTCGATTTCTTACCTTCAGATACTGAATCGGATGCACAAGATTCACTTAATGCACTCTTATTATCTTCTTCACTTTCAATACTAGCTCCAATAGAAGAAGGACTTGAAGCCTTTGAAGATAATTCTTCGGTATCAGATAAGTCGCTTATATATCTTTCAGTTTCTTTAACAAGAACCTGATCGTGTATGCGAACTTTTTTCAATGATTTTGGTGATTCTGATGATTGATGATTATGTTTATTATGATGATACTGTTTATGAAAAGTAAATTCCTGAGATTTCCGCAATAACAATACTATTTCTGGTTCTTCATCGGGTCCTAATGGTCTTTTGTACAAATGTGTCCACGGATAACCACCCTAATAAAATAAAAACACAAAATCTAATTAATTTTTAAAGTTTGTAATTGAATTTGTTAATATTAAATGAAGTAGGATTGTATGAAAACAACGTATGTATGTTAGTTAAAGTTTAAAATTTCTATGACAGCAGAACATGATAAGACGTACAATTTTGAATATTTTTAATTCTCATTACAAATTAGCCTTTATTCTCTTGCATAATTCTTGTAGTGTCGTTATTTCTTATTGCACCTCTCTAACAAAATCCTTTCTTCAAGAAATTTGATGTTTACGTCAAAAAAAATATGTGATAGGAAATGTTAAAGGCGAGTGAAATAGGAAATAACAACATTGCAAAAGCATAAAGGTCCAATATAGTAAATTAAGAGTCAACACCAATTTCCTTGAAATTTGTTTGATTTAGTTTTTTTTTTTTTTTTTTTTGAAATATTAATGTTTGTTGATTATTCAAAACTTATTTGTTTTCAGAAAGCTGTCTAAGAGATTAATATATTTCAGTTATTCTTAACTTACTTTTTCTTTAGCACGACGTATATCTTCCCAGCGATACGTTTGCAAAGGTATTGGTGGCTTATCTTCCTGATATTTATCTAAATAATCTCTTAACGATTGATAATATTCTTTTTTAGCTTCTATCGCTAATTTATATGGATCGATATTAGAATCAAGTTGTGGTAATGAATCTAATAATTTTTGTTTTTCTTCTTCTTCTAAAGGTGTTGTACAATTTTTTAAACCATTAATACCAATATCATTATTTAAATGATTATTTGTATTTAGAAAATTATTTCCACCACTTAAATCTGTTATTATAAGTAATTTATCTTGTTTTCCACTTAAAATTTCAAAGTTATTTTCTTGATTATCAGCTGCTACAACTGATGATGATGTTAAAATTTCTTCGGATTTTTCTTTTACCTTCTCTATATTATTATGATTTTCATTAAGATTTTGTTGTTTTTCAGATTCTATTAATTTTTCATTTATATTATTTTCAATTTTAGAAGAACTAATATCACTAATAATTATATTTTCATTATTTGCCAATATGTTATTATTATTATTGTTGTTCTCAATATGAGAAGATTCAATTTTATCTTTTTCGTTTTCAATAAACTTATTACTAATTTCAATCTTAACTTCTTTGGCAGTATCTACTAGTATATTATTTTTATCATCTGTTATTTTATTTATTATATTATTATTATTGTTATTTTTAATATTTTTATTTAAATTTTCATTTTCTATAATAATATTATTGTTATTTTCTTTTTTATCTTCTTCTTCTTCTTCTTTTTTATCAAATGAATTTAATAATTTTGATTCACGTTTATTACTACTTATATCTAAATCTAATTGAATTGGTTTATGAGTTTTTGGTATGGATGGTTCAATTTCAATGACTGATTTTGGACTAGTTTCTGTTTCAATTTGTGATGTTGTTTGAAATTCTTCTGGTTTTGCTGGTATTTCTTTAACTGTTACTCCACTTTTATCACTATCTTCGCTAACTGAAAAATTTTTATCAAATGTTTCAATTAAATGTGATTGTATATCTAAAATATTTTTAGATATTTCAATATTTTCAATATCCGATTGATTTTTATTATTATCTAAATTAATTTGTTCTGTTTCATTTAAAGATTTTATTTCCTCTTCTTTTGTGGTAACTGGAGTTGTTGTGGTAGTAGTATCATTAGAATCATTGATATTAGATTGATTCTCTTCTTTATTTTCACTCTTATTTTGTTTTTGTTCTTCTGTTGTATTTATTATTGTGTTTTTATTAAGAGTTTCAATAATAGTTGGTTCAGCACCGCCAGCACCGGGAAGAGATACTAAAATTAAAAAAAAAATATTATAAATAAATTGTAAATATAAGTTCATATTTATATTAATTATTTTCATTTATTAAAATTAAGTGCATTTTTAAATATTATATTGTACAAACTGCAGAATATTTAAAAAATTTTCTTAACAATTAAAATAATTTCAATTACAGACAACAGATTTACTGTTGTCGAACTATTTCTTTATAACATGTATTTTATGTTAATAAAAACTTTAGTGAATATTATTTGTGAAGAGAACCCTTAAAAAGAAACGCAATATACGTAGTTTGGCATTAACAGTACCTGCAATCGAAAACGGCGTTTATAATATTATCTACTCACAAAAACTGGCGCTTAATCGGAAATTAATTATTACAGAAAGTGATTTAAAACGCTTACGAGTACATACACACACATAATTTTTTGGATTAATCCTGTGATTTGATGATCATATTTGCAAAATAATTTGATCAAAAAATCCAAATTATTTAAATAATATAAAAAATTAAAAAAACAAATCGTCTAGGGTGACATTTATTAATTAAATTTCTTTGATCTTTTGAAAATTTTTTTAATTTTTTGAAAATTTTTACGTCACTCATAATTTTCTGTTTTTATTTTTTGTATTTGATTTTGACAAAATATGTAATTGTTCCCAATAATATTTTTAGAATATTAATATTATTTTTAATAAAAAAAAATTAATGAAAATTTAAGAAATTTGAAAATATACAAGTTATACCTATAGGCCAATATGATTAAATTCGGAAATTCCTCTTTAATATATCCGAAATGAAATTATTTTACTACAAATAATCATCATATTTAATATAATCATAAAAATTTTCTTCACCTGTAAATAAACCGCACATATTTTATACATAATTTTTATTAAAATTTGTGATTTATTATGAGAGCAATGATTTTCATTGACAGAAAGAATAAAAACAAAAAAAAAAATTTTTTAATAAGGTACTGAACTCAAATCAGAACATTAATTTAATATTCTTGTGACAAAAACAAAAAACAGAAAAATTAAATAAAATGTAAAAGTACGGAAATGTTTATTTTGTCGCCATTAAAAAATGAAAAATTAAAAATTTTATGATTACATTTTTTTTTTTTCTTTAATAAAATCGCGTATATAAAATTATTTTCGTTATATAGCTAGCGTATTAAAATTATTTTTTAAATATTTTTTTTTTTTTCTGAAAATTTTTTGAAAATAAAATTGGGATTTATTAGAGGGTCGTAAAATTTATAAGAGAATTTTTTTTTATGAGAGCATATTCTTCGTATATACCGTTTTATATAGCAAATATTTTTAATAAAATGCAAAAAAAAATAAAATTTATATTGCATTTTACTTTAGTTTGGAGTGTGTGTCGCATTAAAAAAAAATTATTGAAAATGTTATTGACGGCGCTCTTTAAAATATTTGAATAATAATAGTTTTTTTTTTTATTATTATTTTAACTATAAAAATTATTATTTTCACTTTGTAATTATTTAATGCAGGAATTTTATTTATTTTGAATTTATACACAGTGAAGATTAAATATATTGTGTATTAGAACCGTAACGCAGAGTTTTGTCTTCGATTCATTCAAAAAGCGACTAAGAATAGGATAAAATATTTCAAAATTTGCAACTGTATACTTCGACAATAAAAAATTTCCAGGAATAAAATCAAAAATTACCAGAAATTTTTCGAATTGCATATGAGCACTGAACAATTAATGGTTAAAGGACATTAGAATTTTCCGTTTTTAATTGTATTGGGCAACTTTCTATTATTTTATGGTTTTCACATGTACAGATCGCTAATATCAAAAAATTTCTTAATAATTTTTAAATTTATATTTAATTATTGCTTTTTTTAGGAATAACTAATGATTATTGCTTCATACAATTTTAGAACAGATGGAATCTACAATAGATGTGAAAAAAATCCGATTCAAACTTAAAATCCGATTATAAGTTTTGTGTAAGTTTTCGATTTTAATTTTTATTCAAAAATTATTCCGAAGAAATTATAAATTTTTAATACATAAAGTTTTTACTTTTAGATGTATGGACTAGAGCAAAAAATTAAATATTCTTAAAAAAGGCAATTCAAATCGACTGCAAATTATTATGCCAATTTAATTTTACTAATTATATAAAAATGACCGGTTTCCAAAAATTTAGCCATGAGTTCATAAAATAATAAATTTTTTTTAAAAAATCACGTATATAAAAATATCTTGCGTAATATAAACACAACAAGTTATTTTGATCAGTTAATTGTTTTAGTTGTTAATTTTAAAAGACCGGATGATTTTGTGAAAGTTCGATCAAAAAAATTTTGACATTTTCAATTGACGTAATATCAATTCGAATTTAGAAAGAATTGCTTAAACAATGTCCAATTTATTCAATTTTACTTTTATTGTAAAATTTAAAATTTTTTTTAACATTCTGGCGCCATTAACAGTTTCCAATTTAATATTATTTAGTATTGTAAAATGAAATAAATAAAATTGTTGTGATAGCAGTTTCAGATTCTCTATGCAGTATATTTAAATTAATTTAAATTAATTATTTAAATAGATGGTATATAAATTATTTTAAGGACATATTAGTATATATAAAAATAATCAAATTAATTATTTGTTTTCAAAATATTTTAGAATTTTATTATAATTTTTTAAATTGTCATTGTCTATTATTTCCTTGTAATTTCCTGATAATTTAAGAATTCTTTTATCTCCTTTCCGAATAATATTAACATTTTTCATGTAATTTTTATAAAATTGTATTAAAATCATCTTGTATCACAAAATTATAAAATTATAATTTAACACATTTTCAAAGTAGATCTTTAATTATATATATATTAGTAACATACTATCTACACATGACTGCTTCTCTATATAATATAATATATACACACTTAAATTTTTTTTTAGTTATATTATCTTAGGTATTTAACAATTAAATTAAAAATGTTTTATAATTTTAAACACAATATTTAAAAATAGTAAATTGATTCACCTGATAATTATTTTAATACCAATATATATACATTTAGTATATATAGAATAAAATAAAAATTATAAATTTTATGATTTATAATTTAAAATTTAAATAGTTAATATTTGTGTTTTAATTATTTGCTTTTTTTAATAAAACTAATTTCATATTGTTATAGATATATTGTTATATATAATGTATATACATAAAATATTTTTGAATTAAAATAAAATTAGAATTATTTTTTTTTATGTACATATACATTTTTTTTTATTTAATTATAAAAATAAAATTACACGTTAATTATAAAAAATAATAAACAAAAATAAATAACTATTAAATTTTTTTTTCTCTGTTTTTGCCCGGTTTAATAATTTCACTTTTCATTAAAAATTGAGGCCATTTGTATACTTATTTACATATGTACATATAATATATATATATATTTATTATATATTATTTTAATTAAATAATATTAAAAATATAATGAAAATTTCAAACAATCTATACTACAGTATGTTAAAAATTACATAACTTTAAAATAAAAAAAAAAAATAAAAAAAAAAAAATAAAAAAATTTTTTTTTTTTTTATTTTTTTTAATATATTTTATGTTTTAGAGGTTTAGTTTGGCCATCAAACCGTCTAACACTATTTTATTATAAATGCGGTTAAAGAACAGAGAACAAAAAATTATTAAATAGAAACCCGAACGAAAATCTATTTCTAGTAACTAACAGAACAAAATATTCAAAAAAAAAAAAGAAAACAACAAAAAAAATAAAAAAAAAAATATATACATAGTATATATATGTATGTATATATATGTATAATTTAGACTGAAAATCTAATTATTTGTCTGGTTATACACAGAGAAAAAAAAACAAAAAAAAAATTATGAAGAAAAAAAAATTTAGAACAAGAGCTATTCGCTCATCTGTTTAATATTTTAGCAAATGCCATCATAATATTGAGGAACAAAAATATATAAAAAAAAAACCTAAAAGTCACTCATAATGTGCCATTTAAAAAGATGCAATCGAGATCAGTATTTCTTGTTTTTTTTTTTCTGTTTGTTTTTCGTACTCAAGACCAAAAATTGAAAATTTTTTTTTCCTTCTTTTTCCTATATTTTTTCCTTATTTTGTATTGTTTTGCAGTTTCCAATTGAGTATAAGTGCAAGTGAAACAACAAATACCAAATAAAATTAAAAAGAAAGAAGAAAAACAGAAGTATTTTTTCGCAGAACTTTACAATATAAGGTCAATGCGCCACTTGAATTATAATTTTAAGGAAATTTTGGAGAAAAACGAAAATTAAAAGAAAATTTATCTTAATTATTGTTTTTTTTTTTTTCTTTTTGGAGAAGACACTAAATTGTAATAAAATTTTTGTTTTATTTTATTTAAAAAATTTTCTTATATTTATAAATTTTTTTATGAAATATTGCCAATATTTATGGCAATTTAATATTATAGCTTCATTTTACTATTTTTAAAAATGAAATATTTTGCGCTTTTATAAAGAATATGAATGGGTCTTTGTTTGTTTTTGTTTTATAATAACTAAAATTTAAGTGGTGCTCAATATATGTAGAAATTGGGGACATATTTGAAAAAAACAAACAAAATAAAATAAATAATATTGAGCATGTACACATACATTATGTGTAAATAAATATATTGTAATACCAAATGAGCTTAATGATGAAAACAAAAGGAAACAAGTACATATATGTATATAGAAATATGCGGTAATTATGAGACTTTAGGTATAAGTAGACTTTATATATATATTGAAATGTATGTAACAATTTGGGTGCAATAATTGGCATTGCACAAAATAATATACTTATGTATTTTTAAATATTTTTTGTAAGTTTCTTAAAAATGGCGTTAAAATTTCTTAATATACATGACATATGTAATATTATTTTTAACCTAATTATTATTAAAATCAATATACATAAGTATATAGTAAAAATAGAAATA